TGTCAGAAATAGGGGCAGCAACGGACTTTGAAAACCTGCTGTTAGCAAGTCTTACATTCAAGAAAACCAAAATAGTGGAATTTATAGACGCAATAGGCGCCATTTGATCAAAACAAGAGAGGACGTACCCTTTACTGCTGTTGAAAATGGCACACTTGTACCCCTATCCATTCCGAACCACAGTACAGCCAAACTACCTCTGAATTAGATGAACCTTTTCGAAACATAAATAACGCTTTCCAAATTACGAGCGATACAGAAACCACAAAATCCAACACAATCCTTCTGATGGATTATACACTACAAGATCTGGACGTACAGTTAAGCCCAACATCATGGAATCAATGTAACTTCTTGAATGTGCTTCTTTTTTTATATATTGTGTATACACACCTATCGAGTCTTTTATGCTGATATTATGAGTTTTATTATGAAAGGACAATTGTTGAATGTTTTACGACAATAACTTTATATGGGAACATTGACTTGAATTTGTCAATTGTATAACTCGTGCTTGTTATTTCTGTTGTTAAGAAGGGTGATGTAAAATTATTCTATTAGTACTGTACGTAGTTTGATTTTACTTCTGGTTCTAATTAGAGGTAATCCCATTACAGTGTGGACAATCGTAATACTTATGTTGTTAATAATACTGAATCATTTACCTTTAACTTGTTTGTCATCGGCTATCGATAACAATGATTTTACTCTCACTCAGTCTGTCAGAGGCCTTCCAGTGGGGATTAAAATAATTACTTGTTCCACATTTCGATACATAAAATTAAACTTTCTTTCAACAAAATTTAAAAGGAATTTGTTTTAAATATTCTTTTTATCATCACACCCAACAGTTTCATTTAAAAAAAACAATAAATGTGCAGAGCTGATATCATTAAATTATAGAAAAATATATTAAATGTAAAACATGTCGATTTTTATTAGACAAAAAAACTTCAAGTGTATGGGGTTATTTCACAAAACAAAAAAACTTACAAAGAAAAAAACTCCCACGTTGGGAACATTTTAGAATAACCTACCGTTTATTCAATGGATAAGATTTGTTTGTGAAAAGAGCTCGGGATAATGAAAAAAATTTCTTCCTATTTTTCGCATGGTACATCATTTGAATCGTTCAATCAGAAGACTCGTATGGTCAGTTTGCTTTGGATATTCAGGCACATTAGACTACTCAATTGTCTCTATTCAAGTATATTTCTAAAGGTATATCTGAATAACTTAAAGACTTTTCTATTTGTATATGCTTTATGTAAAGGGGAAACTGGTACAGTTTATTAGTAGCAAAAACAGAAATTGGAAATGATCGAATAAATTAAAAATCAAAAGAAGAAATAAATTAACAAAAAGAACCCTATTATTTTTCAATTTTTAGTCCATTTTACGGAAATTTTCCAATCGCTTTCCCAATTTTACTGGATTACTGAAAAGTTCATGCGACTCCCGTTTTCGGAACCTGGAAGCATCACTTATTTGTCTTTTGAGTTTTTATGTCTTTGTCTTTGTCAATTTGCTGCTGGTTCTTGAACGAATGTATTTACTCTGTGTCTTCAACCTTGTGGTTGTAGTTCGGGTATTTCGCTTTTTTCGTGAACGAATGTCTGAAGTTTTTTTGTTTATATTCATAATATTAGTGGCTATGGTTCGAGTATTTGAACATTTTTTTCATATATATAGCAACGAAGTAATTATTTGTGAATCTGAACACAGAACAAAATATTTGGTATCATAAATGTTAATACAAATGAAGAAAAGGTATAAAGATAAATTCTTTTTTCGGCAATGTGTTAAAAATGGTATTATCCAGTATTTTGAACAGGAAAGGGGGAACAAACTAGACAACGTTAGTAGGACAGTAGAACGTTGGACCAACTAATTTGAATTCTAGCTTTCCAGTAAATAAATTTATTCAACAATTAATTATTATTAAGATATTGAATTTAAAGATTCCTATTTCATAAAGTAAATGCAAATTGTATTAAGCTAGGTCCAAATACGTGTAGCTTTTTACTGTCCTATATTTTGCAAATACGAAAAAGACCATACGAAAATATATTTTTTCAATTTTTTTAATTGCGTAATAAAGTTTACCATGCATTCGTTCTAAAAATAACCTTCCCCTTTTTTGGCAGTCTGGAATAATTTTGTAAACCCTATATTACAATAGTTAGTGTTATGTATAAGAATGCATTTGAACACGTTGTCATGTTTTTGGCATTCATAAATATCGCCATCATACGACCCAAAGAACATTACAAAACCCTTACATTTTTGATGGGTCATAAGGTGACTAGTTGGTTTACTCCTGGTTTGCCAAAATTTAATTATACCAATTAGCTATTAGTAAAGAAAACAAAAAAGACAAAAGGTTTAATGAGCATACAATTGTATAGTCTGTTCCAACTTAGGAATATAGTTTATCAGTGTTTTCTATATATTCAGGTATTTTTCATTGTGTAGTTCCATTTTCATTTGTATAGATAAATAATAAATAAATCAAATATTTTTTCTCTCAATAATTTAATATCAATTCAATCTATTCATTTAACACACATGTACAACTAGTGACAAAACAATGACATTCATTTATAAAAGTGTCTTAATAACTCATTAGTTTCTGAATGATGTTCATGATATAAATACACCAATACAAGTTTTCTTTTATTGGAAACTTAATTTATATAATATATGACTCAAATATATAGATACATTGCATAAGGAAATAAATAAAGCACTATGTTTTTACAATCTTTTATATATATTTCAAAAGTCACAAAAAATTATATTCTTAAAGTCACAAATTACAATCTTTCACTAAGCCATTTAGTTCAAATGGAGAAAATGAGATGCTGCGTCAGAGTAGTCTATCACGTTGATGAGTCCTTGTTGGTATCTGTCTTTCAGAAGTTGGAGTCTGGTGTCTATTACTCTGTATCATCGTCTTTTTGGTGGATGGGCCCCTCCTGCTGCATACTGGATAATGGTACATTCTGTTAGTGCCTGGGTCTTCTTCAGTAACTCAATGATCTCGTACATGTTTAGGGTGGGCATGTTGGAGTCTCTTCTTAATTGTGTTGTGCTATACTTCGGGGTCCTTCTGTGTAGTAGTGGTTCCATAGAAAGCGGTATCCTTTAACTAAAAACTCTGTCACGTAATCTGTAAATGATGTTGTAGCGGTTATGTTGTCAGCTTCACCAATGTCTTTTAAAGTTGTAAGCCTAACATCCTCAACAAGGTGGGGTGGAACAAGAGGTAATACTGCGGCTCGTCGTATAAGTCGAGTGATGTCTTCATTTTCTTTATAGTATGACTGTAGTCCACATTTCTGTGCCTTTCGCCTAATACACTGGGTAAAGTGGAAGAAGCAGCCTTGCACGGTTACACCTGAAAACACTGTCCGTGCTGTATTGTTGGTTGCTGTCTCGTAATCAATAAATACTGTTTCTTGTTGAAGTTGTAACTGATGTAGTTGAGCGATGTAACGTATGTGGCTGAAGAAGCGTGAATAGATAACCTCGTCTTTTCCTGGTTGTGGAGCATACACTAGTGGGAACATAGAACCATCTACCATTGCATGAACTGTGTACAGCTGATGGAAGAGAGTTGGACATGAGTAGAATGTGCCGTTGCAGAAGATCGTGTTGGCAGCAGCAAGGTGTGTCAAGTTGTTTGTTGTTGAGAAGATCAGCATGGTTGGGTAGATGTCCGACGGTAAAAGGAACTGTTTTCTTGTAGTTCATCATTCATCCTGCAGGTCGATGTCGATAGTTGTCTTGGGTAGGACGGGTCTGTTGAGTGATCTCTGGTGGTAGAGTGGGCTGTGATGTCTTGCAGGAGTAATAGGTAAAGCTTGGCTACTGAACAGTTGCATTTATATTTTATTTGTTAGAATTAATTGGATATATTTTTATATTAAATTTCAGAACACTGTATTTATTAAAATTTAAAAAAAATAAATAAAGTGAATAAATAAAACGAAATTTAAATGACACTTATTTTAATCTTAAGTTTCATTATTTTACTTTTTACATTTTTTTTTCAGAATGTACCAACAATTAAAACAATTTGTTGATAAATTGTCAAAATAATAAACTTTTTTGTATACATTTTTGTCTATATTTTTTTTATTTATTTGACAAATTCAATACATTTTCCTGCTAAAAAAAATATAAAGATTTTTGGCACTTTTTCGCCTTGATTTAATAGCAGAATTAAGTATCTTTTGTAAAATTTTACAGGTAAAATAAAGGTAAAAAATATTACTATAATTCAGAAATAAACTATAATTGGTAAAACAACAAAACACCCTATGTTTTTATAAACCTGCTATTAAAAGTGGGCAAACCAGGATGACACCGACTAGTTGCATGGGAAATCCAACCTGATTCAAGAGGCACTCTTAATCTCCCACCCTTTTCCCGGTTGACATACTTTGCAGAATACACCTTTATTTTTTTCTTGTACCGGATATCCATGCAATATTTGACACTGCAGTGGCGTAGCACCAGTGTAGCATTGTAAGCATGATTGTGCTTACAAATAATTTTATAATTTTTTTTTTAAATAAGAGAATTTTACTTTAATCGTTCAGCTTCTTCCAGACCCCCTGCTTACAATTCTTTTTCCAGTGGCTATGCCACTGCACTGGACGTTAAGAAAACCACAATCTATTAATCTTTATGATATACATTTTTTAATCTTATTGTAAGGACTTATTAATCATTATCTTTCCAATTCATTTATTTCAGTTGAGACTTGTAAAGTAAAGAAACAAATATAGTTGAGGAAGAAAACGTTTTGATTTCTATAGAATGTTTGAGATAGCAACATTCTACAACGAATCTAAACTATAGGTTTGTAAGTCAATAACACTTTGTAGTTATCATGATGATGTGAAAAAATCGATGACATTGTAAAATTATCTATATGTTCGATTTTATTAAATCGATCTATATATTTTTACATCGCAAATCTTTCATGTAATAGCATGTACGTTTAAATGCCCATTACGGTGAAGTTGGTTGCGATATATTTATAAACACATAAGAAGGTTACACACATATGCATTTATAAAATATTACTATTTAAAAAGTGATAAATATGCTCCAACCTGGTAAGTTGATGTTTACATGTGAATCTTATTTTGTATATGTGATTGAACAATGAAAATATGAAGAATGCGAAGGAACAGTTTCAGATTCATCTTATTTTGTGGGTACCAATTTTTTTGACGATATAAGTTGAGTTGTTGCTTCAGATATTCTTTAATTCGAGTTCTAGTCGTTTCTTCTTAACAAATTGAGAAAAATGTGCTTTTTATTGAATATTCAAAAGTTCCACACACTAATTCAAATTGTTTGACCTTCATTACTGACGATACAAAAATATGGAGATGAGGTATGATTGCCAATGAGACAACTATCCACCAACGTTCAAATGAAGTGGATGTGGAGCTCATTGCAATCAGTACTTTAAATTTATTTAAATGTGAATTGCAAATTTATATATTAAAATATTTTAACCTAAAAAACATTACTAATTAAAATAAATTCATAACGCATAAGGTATTAGAATTACGCATTTAATATTGTATCTTCTACCATTCAAAGTTCATTGCCATATGATTTAACAGTGAATAACCGCGAACAATTAAAACTCTAACAATGCCATGTATTGCCGTTTCAATAAATATTTATATAATTGCTGTTTACTTGGATGTAAGCCATGAAAGTTTTATATGTACACTGCCCTTTTCGATTTAAATCTCTTGGATGAAACATCAACTGTTAATTTTCACTTTTGAAGCAATACCAAATTGCTTCTTTTGGTTTTTCTGTATACTTTGTTCGGTGAATTTCACACTATCATGTATTATAAAAACAAGTTTAGTACTGTGAGTTTGCTTTTTGTAACTGTAGATATCCCTTAATACGTTATAATTTATTATTTATTTTGTATTTTTTTTAATCTTTTTGTATACCATTATGTTAGAGTTGAGTGCTATTTCTGCTTTGTTTCGGTTTTATGTTCTTTGGTGTACGTTTATGCATGTAATCTATTGATATAGATTAAAAATGGGAAGGGTTGATCATTTATTTTCACTGAAGGTTATATCAAAACTTCCGATGCTAAAAACCCAATGAAACACCACTTGAAAGATTTAATACTTGCAGATATACGCTCTGTAAACAATCCAAAGTTTCCTTTTCTTACTATATCAGACATTTCTGGTCCTTAATAATACAATTTCTCTGCGACAGACATATATTTGTTAATTTATAGTTTGGATCAATATCAAAACGTTTCTAAAGTTTGTCTCAGCATTGAAATTCTATAGTGAATTCTATTGCATAAGAACGTGTTTATCGTGCTTCATACACAATGTTCTTCTGTCAACTCTTTTGCACCCAAATAAAATTCCAAAATGTAGCATTCAGTTCTTAATTAAAAGAAATTAAAATCACACTTTATTATGCGTCCTAAATGCTTTTTTGGATGTAACTTCATCAACACTTAAAGTCAAATATTTGAAATCCAAGGATGTTAAAAGTTTTAAAAGTGATCAGCTCAGTATATAACTAATATTTCTTAAAGTATCCGTTGATGAATTTAGAACTTTTAGGAAACTATAGATACCAACATCCTCAGGCAAAATTGACCTTAACGAATTTGGCCATTTTTTTTATCATATAGCTCCTCACGTTTTCTCATTGGCTTTCATTTTCTTTATAGTTTGAATGTTCCAGATGAAGGCACACCAAGAAAAGCGCGTCTCATGCACGAAATCAATGAAGTGTTATTATCATTTCCATAATTTTAAGTGCTCTCCTCTTACTTTGGTTGTATGTTATTTCAAGTATCTTTTTGTCCACCGGTGCAGATTTGAAGGGAGGTTAAAATATAAAAAAAAACTAGTTTATAACCGCCACAAGTGTTTATTCGAATATCACATTTTGAAAATAATCTAGGAATTAAAAAAGAGTTACTAATATGACCATTTCTAAAACTAAAGAAAAACTGTATAACTGACAGGATATCACATCCTAATGTAACGTTAATGCTGTTTTTACAACTCGAAAATTTAGATACGATCCTTGTAAGCTTTAAATAAATTTATTCTGAAAAGGTTTAATCTTTATGAATAAATTAAAACATATGGGAAACTCCACACTAAAATTTACGACAAAAGGGACGATTTTTCGTTCCCTATTGTTATTTTTCCCTTTTTGGATGGTGATGTTCCTTTTGCACCATCTTACGGTGTTTATATTTCACAACTCGTTCGCTATGCCCGTGTCTGTTGTGACGTTTTTTTATTTTAACGAACGTAATCTATGTATTACTGGTAAATTATTAAGCCAGGGATTTCGTTACCACAAATTACTTAAAACCTTTACTAAATTCTTCCATAGATATAAAGATTTGGTTTTGAAGTTTGGTTGTACCTGTAGAAAACTTATTTCAAACGGGATTGCACATCCTTATTTTTACGGCAATAGTGTTTACCGTGCCTGGAAATTTAGAAACGATCCTGGTAAACTTATAGATCCTTTAAATAAACTTATTCTAAAAGGCTACCAATTCAACACTGTAATTAGATCATTAAATATTGTTTTTATTGGTACTAATATTGATTTTGTTATCAGTAAATTAAAAGCAAACTAAATATTATTGTTATATACATATACACATTCATAGATCTACAATCTGTCGATACCTGTATCTTGGCATTGCACAATGTCATGTTTTTCTCTGACTGTTTATGACGTCTTTACACTAAATCCATTGGATGTTGGATGTGTACGGATTGATAATTTAGTCTTAGATGCATGATTTTTTTTATTATTAGTTGTTATTGGCTTTGAACTAGCTGTCAGTAACTGCGAGTACTCTCAGATCTGTACTTAGTGTCTTTTTGTTGTTTGGATGTACAAGTACCCGGCCACGTCCACTTGTATTTGTAGTATTTGTATTTTTATCCATCTGATGAGTTAAGCCTCTTTCAACTGATTTTTATAGTTCGTTCTTATGTTGTACTGTTACACCACTGTCCCAGGTTAGGGGGAGGGTTGGGATCCCGCTAACATGTTTAACCCCCCCACATTCTGTATGTATGTGCCTGTCCCAAGTCAGGATCCTGTAATTCAGTGGTTGTCGTTTGTTTATGTGTTACATATTTGTTTTTCGTTCATTTTTTGTACATAAATTAGGCCGTTAGTTTTCTCGTTTGAATTGTTTTACATTGTCATTTCGGAGCCTTTTATAGCTGACTGTGCGGTATGGGCTTTGCTCATTATTGAAGGCCGTACGGTGACCTATAGTTGTTAATTTCTGTGTCATTTGGTCTCTTGTGGAGAGTTGTCTCATTGGCAATCATACCACATCTTCTTTTTTATATATTGCTATGCAGTTATTCAAGCGTACGGTTCTACATGTTTATATTTTGGCATTGCATACGGTCATATTTTCAGACTATTTATGACGTCTTTCTACTAAATGTACTAATTGATACTTAATTTGTATTAGATACATTTGATATTAGTTGTTATTGGCTTGGAACTAGATTTCAGTAACTGCGAGTACTCTCATTTCAGTACTTTGCAAGCCCTTTTCAATATGTTCTGCTGTTACACTACTGTCCTAGGTATTTGAGAGGGTTGGGCGCTCGCAAACATGTTTAACCTGCCACATTCTGTAAGTGCATTTCCCAAGTCAGGAGTCTGACATTCAGTGATTGTCGTTAGTGACTGTATATCATATTTGTTATTCACTTCTCTTTTTTTTACGTAAATCAGGCCGTTGGGTTTCTCATTAGAATTATTTTATATTTTGTTAAGCAGGGGCCTTTTATATCGCTTGCTTTGCGGTATGGGTTTTGCTTATTGTTGAAGGCATTACGGTGATCCATAGTAGCAAAGCTCTACGTCATTTTGTCTCTTTTGGATAGTTGTCAAATTGGCAATTTAGTTTCAACTGCTAATGGTATACATATGCATACGCTGTCGGCTGTAAGGTATTTCATCAGTAGTCGTCTTTGTTATATACAGATCATTTTTGCTATATGGAGAATTCAGTGTTGATGTGAGATATTTGTTTTAGTTTCTGATTAATTCATTTACAATTTGTATAGACTTTTGACGCTTTAGATTTTGAAATGTTTTATGGAAACCTTTCTTTTTTTGACGACTGTATATTGCCCTATAGATATCTACTGGTTATTTGTGTCTTTTGGTTACTATCTCATTGACATATTGAATTAATAAAATAAAACAGTCATAGTTTACAATTATTTCTCTATCTATGAAGATTTGTAAAATATAGAGGCAAAATACTAATGATATTGTACGAATAGTAGAATTGTATTAATGGAAATACGGTTCTATTAAATGCATATTGTTGGGAATCTGGAAATAGTTTATACATACTGTTGGGAATCACTTTAGGAGTTTACATATAACTTAATCGGGAAGATTTCTCAGATCTATACTTTTTTTCAGATTCAGCGCACCCACCACCTAATACATTTGAAGTTTCTGACGTTCAAACACACCAGCCACTCTCGACAGACCATGGCAAGCGGAAACATTCAACAGAGGTGTCAGCCGGTGACAGAAAAATAGATGAAAAAACAAAATCGGTGCCTTTAAGAATAAGATTTGTAAATTTCGACCCAAAACAAATGACTTGCCCACATTGCCATAGACATATAACGACAGAGTTAAAATTTCATCCAGGGGAGACAACCTGGTCATGGTGCATTTGTTGCTTTTTAATGGGGTAAGCGGCATTAAATAGTGATGTAGTTTCATAAAATTTAATGTTTTTCATATTTCTGTTCGTTTACATTTCAGTATATTTTGTAGTTCGCAGCTGCCTCCCTTTATATATCGACTTCGATCAAGAGTAAATGTAAAAATAAGAAGATGTGGTATGATTGCCAATGAGACAAATCTCCACTAGAGACCAAATGACACAGAAATTAACAACTATAGGTCACCGTACGACCTTCATCAATGAGCAAAGCCTAAACCGCATAGTCAGCTAGAAAAGGCACAGAATGACAAATGTAAAACAATTCAAACGAGAAAACTGAAGGCCTGATTAATGTACAAAATAATGAACGAAAAACAAATATGATATACAGTAACAAACGACAACCACTGAATTACAGGCTCCTGACTTGGGACAGGCACATACAGAATGTGGCGGGGTTAAACATGTTAGCGGGCGCCCTACCCTCCACCTAACCTCGGACAGTGGTGTAACAGTACAACATATGAACAAACTATAAAAATCAGTTGAAAAGGGCTTAACTACTCAGATAGATACAAAGCACAAAAACACAGAGTGGACGTGACAGGGTACTTATGCATCCCCATAACAAAAAGGCACTAAGTACAGACTTGAGAGTACTCGCAGTTACTGACAGCTAGTTCAGAGCCAATAATAACCAATAAAAAAAATCATGCATCTAAGAATAAGAGATTTATCGGTTTGCCGTGCCGAGAAAAGCCACTTCCGGGATCATTTGATGAACCAATCATTTAAATTTAACTTTCAATTTGAAAATGACACATAGGTGAAATAAATCGTTGTTAGAAATAGTGATGAAGGTTAAATTTATACCAAAGTATTTTTGAAAATCGTTTAAATAAAAATAACACTTTATAAATTTCGTGCATCCGAATGGCTTTCTGGATTAACCTTCATCATCAACGCTCAATTTTAAATTTGAAACACTTGAAGGGTTCTGTAACAAAAAGGGACCTACAAAGTAAGCCATAATTCATCTAAGGTCAACTTTGCCTGGGGAAGGTGGAACCTTAGTTTCTTAATTTCTTATTTAATGTATAATTATAGAAAAAAAAATCACAGTAAAAATTGTAAATCAATAATACTTAAAAAGAGAAACAGGAATTACCAAAAAAAAAAATTGTTGTTGGAACAGAAAAAAAAACATTTTAATGTTTGATGTCACGCTTTTATTATTTGAAAAATTATAGCATAATGCAAGTTTTCAGACTTTATCAATCTATGCAATCATGCTTTGTAAACATGAATAAAAACAGATGTGATGTATTTCAAACAGGCTATAAATAAGAAGATGTGGTATGAGTGCCAATTAGACAACTCTCCATCCAAGTCGCAATGTATAAAAAGTTAACAATTATAGGTCAAAGTACGGCCTTCAACACGGAGCCTTGGCTCACACCGAACAGAAAGCTATAATAAAGGGCCCCAAAATGACAAGTGTAAAACAATCCAAACAGGAAAGCCAACGGTCAAATCTATATAAAAAACGAGAAACGAAAAAACTTATGAACCACACTAAAAAACGACAACCACTGAACAAAAGGCTCCTGACTTAGGACAGGTGCATAAATATGCAGCGGGTTTTAAAAACGTTTTATCCGGCGCTAACATTCACCCTAACCTGAGACAGTAGTATAACATTACAACATAAAAAGACACACTATAAAGTATCAATTGAAATGGCGTAACTCGATCAAAAAGACATATGATAAACAAAAACAAGTAAACATACGCTGAACGAATAAGTTTGATCTATGACACAATTTAAATACAATATTGATAAAAAAAGATGTAGGAATAGTGTCCAAAAGACAACTCTAACCTGGGACAAAATGGCGTTAAATAAAACAACATACACAGGTAAATTTAAATATAATAATTTTGTTGTTAGGAGTACGGAAGGTGTAATACCACCAAATCATAGTACCGTCACATCCGGTTGCATACGAAAAAGGGTCGAAAAAAAATTTCCCTTGAATTTGACAGTTGTAGGAAATTAATCCTACATTTCATTGCAGTAAAAAAATTCTGAGTCATAAACATATATCTTGGGTGTTTCAAAGCGCCATTATTTTTTTATTTGGTGTTTCTATAGAATATTCTGGAAACTTGAGCTTACATGGTTTCTTAAGCTTGTACACAGGAAAAAAAGGGGTGAAAATTTGATTGGTTAACTTCCAGTGATGGTTATTTTCTTATATGCAATGAAATGTTATGTGAAATTTTGTCTATAGTACTGGACAGGATAAAACTTTACTCATGCCAAGTATTTCTTTATTTGAAACAAGGATATATTCTGCACAATTTTTTGACTCGTTACCCGCTTTGATCACTGAGCAATATAACGGATGCCGCATGCGGAGCAGGATATACTTACCCTTCCGACAAACCTGTTATTACTCTCGGTTTTCATTGTTGTGGTTTTTGTATGTGTACTTTGTACCGATGTTGTGTGTTGAGTATGTCTGCTTGTTCGGGTTTCGGTTCACTGGGTCTTGTACTGTATCTTTGGATTTTTGATATCTGACTATATCTCTTCCTGTCACTTTGGTCAAATTTTAGAAGTTATCAATTAATATACAAGCTCAGTTAGTTTAATTCTACTAAAATTTAATAAGGATATTGACATTCAGTGTAAAGAAGAGTAAAAGAGGTTAAGAAATACAGCTTCTTGTATAGTGGCCAACCCGGACTTCTCTCTTCCCATACAAATGTAGCATGACCCTTGCTTAGCACAGGTATAAGACAAGATTGTTTTTTAATATGTATATACTCAAACTCCTTTGAGTATGTTGAGTAAATACATATATAAAATTATCTCGTCTTGTACCGGGTGTTGCTTAGCTTGTGAGGGTGGGTGGGTGGGTGGGTGGGTGGGTGGGTGGGGGCGTGTGTTTGGATTTTCAGAAAGTATAAATACACAAAAAAATATAGAAAAGGACAATTATGGTTGTTTAAATTTGATTCATTTAAAGTGAGTTACCTTGGGTAAATTTCCGCAGTATAATTAGATAATCATAGGAACACCTACGACCTGTTGATAAACGTTATTGTCGAAATGTGCATATATGTAGCCAATGAGAGCATTTACAGCTTCAATCAAAGTTCCAAAAAGTATATATGGCATCTATTTACTCCTTTCATTACAGAAGACTTTATATACCAGTTGCAGCGAATACATTTGTAAACTTTTTTTTTTCAATGAACAATTTAATTTAATAAAAAAAGTTCGGTTTGATTAGATTGTGTGGAAAGTGTTATGAAAATTATGTTTTTTTAACATTAAAATTGGATTTAGAATTGTCTCGCACTATTAGCTAACTGTTAGTAATTGTTTTTTTGGTCATGTATATTAAGATTTCTTGTTATTTCAGTTCTTTTTATTGACAAAAAGAAATTTTGATCTCGTATTAGGAACAGTTAAAGTATTAGATTTTTTGCTCGTATACTACCAAATTAAATTTATATAATTGTAGATGCGTCCTGGGATGCTGTTTTCTCCCTTTTTGCATGCAGAGGTGTAGAGATGTGACGCATTATTGTCCACATTGCCATCATAAAATAGCTAAATACCATCGTAGTGATCCAACAAATCATAGAAGATTATAATGTTTAGTTCATTTGTACTTTTCTCTATCTAAGGTGTGGACTAAAACGTCAACAGTTTCAAAAAATATTTGCATTACATGCATCGTTTCAACATATACTTTGTTGTTATTTGTTCTTTGTTACCTTATGAAGGAATATCGGACTAGGAAATATCGTAAATTATTTCAGGAAGATGGAACGCAATGGATTTCCTTTCAAATTACCATTCACTATGGGTAACTATGGTACCGTGGGATGGTTAAAAGATTAAAAGAAATTCTCTTTTAAAGCAGTGTAGAAGTAACTCAACCATTTATTGATTTATAAGAATTAAATTTTTGATGAGTTTTATTTGTCAGTTTTTATTGAAAAATGAAAAAAAAAATTTTTTAATTTGGTGCGTCCGAAGACCTTTTCTTGATTTACCTTCATCAGGAACGCTCAAACACAAAATATTGAAAGCCATCGAAATATAAGTACTTCTTGAATTCATGAGGAGCCATTTGACAAAAAGTGCCTAAAAAGGGTAATACATGTAAGGACTGCTTTGCCTTAGAGAGTTTGGGATCTTAGTTTCATAATATGTTTAAAAGTTATCAACGGAGAATTTCGAAGGATATCTTATAAATCATGTCTGTACCGTAGCACTGACAACTGAGCTGACGATACCACCGTGGACTAGCAGCCCCCTAGCAACGGTATCGACCCAGAGCTAGAAAAAGTAAATAACCAGTTATTAATTTTGAGCGTCGGAAGCATTTTTCTAGATTCTATACATTCATCAAGAAAGTTCAACCCCCCACCCCCCCAAAAAAAATGAGAGCCTAGGAAGTAAAAGTACTTGCAAACGTGCTATAAGACGTAATAGTACCTTAAAACAATAGTCAAATCCAACTCAAGTCAATTTTGTCTAAGTAGTGAAAACGTGAAGTACATCCGAGCCGTTGCTTACATGTCTTGTGTCAGAACAAACTTTTGGTTTTACTCCAGTGTACAGTGCTTTCTCTTAGGTTTTATGATCTCGTTAATTTATAACAGAACTGTGTTTTGACATTATTATGAAAAGTCTCTTATTACGAACGTGTATAGTGCTTCCGTCCGGTCTTGTTAGCGCTCTCATAGGTACAATTCTTGCCAGATTTTTATAAAACTTATACTATAGGTTAATATCAGCAATATCTCGGACAAGTTCTATAATGGTGGCCGATCGACTTTTTTTAAAAGAGTTATGCCCCTTGGAAATATTAAATTTATGGAAAATGGCCTCGTTAACGCTCTCAACGGTACAATTCTTGTCAGATTTTTATAAAACTTATTCTATAGGTTAATATCAGCAATATCTCGGACAAATTCTATAATGGTGGCCGATCGACTGTTTTTTGAAAGAGTAATGCCCCTTGGAAATATCAAATTTATGGAAAATGGCCTCGTTAGCGCTCTCACGGGTACAATTCTTGCCAGATGTTTTATAAAACTTATACTATAGGTAAATATCAGCAATATCTCGGACAAGTTTTAAAATGGTGGCCGATCGACTTTTTAAAAAAGAGTTATGCCCCTTGGAAATATTAAATTTATGGAAAATGGCCTTGGTAGCGCTACAAAAAAAGTGTTTTATTTAGTTATTGCCCTTGTACCTTGGATAGATAAGATATGTGCAACGCGGGGGACATTGGAACTCTGTACTTTTATTAAAAGTAAATTTTATTGAATATTTCAACTTATAAAAGCTTGCAACTACCAAAAACAGATACTATATTTAGTATAAAACAAGGAGCATTTACATATTTTGAGCAAACACTAAAAATTGGAGATGGATAAAAAATGTCATATAATAAAACAATTGTTGAATTGACATCAGTTGATAAATCATTTGACTTCATATGAAGCAAGCCTGAGTGAAGAATCATTTTATTTCTTATCAAGCAATCTGATTGGTTAATTACCTTGGTGTAAATAACACCACACCCCAGTTCACCCTTGATAAAATTTTGCCAAAATAAAAAAAAAAAAAATTTTGGCAAAATTAAAAAAATGTCCGAAATACCCAAAAATAAAACAGAGTAATATTTGAAAATGCGCAGCAACATCGATGTTGACAAAATATGCAGTGGAAGTTCTTAATAAGAATTTTTCAATCTTATTCCCCGGTCTTAAAATTAGTAAAGGAACGCTTCATAATAAATAAATTCGTTATCTTGGTGCAATCAGAGGTGTACGGAACTTTACATCGGTTTTGAAAATGGCTAGACCCTTCGGCTGCGCCTCAGGATTTATGAATTTTCAACTTTGCCTGATGAGGCTGGAACCTTACTTTCCTAATATTTTCTTAATTTATAAATGGAGAATTTTAGAAACATGATTTAATAAATGATGCCAGTACTGAAGCACTGACTACTGATCTGATGATATCCTTAGGGACTAAGAATCACCAGCAGCGGTATCGACCCAAAGCTACAAAATGAAAAATAACTCTTTATTAATTTGGTGCTTCAAAAATGTACATCAAGCTTCAAAATCAACGGTGTTTTCACGATTGCATGTTGTAAGGCAAACCGATAATCACTCATAATAATGGAGCGAAGCTGGTTGTGTAGGATGTTTTAGTTGTAAATGTGTATGCGTTGGTTTGGCAACTACCTTCTCATCTATAGCAATATATAACCAGTGGTCACAACTCCATTCCATGTTTTTGGACGGAAATACTGTCATATAAATTTGATAGTTGAATTAGTACACATAAATATTTTAAATGTACAACTTGTAATATAAGATTTACTAAATACATTATAAGGAGAGAGAGACCAACCTTCGTTTATTCAACTCAATGTTAAATGTAATTTGGAAAAAAAGAATTTCTAGAAAAAAGAATAAGAAAGAATATGATGCAAGAAAACAAGTAGTTTTAACATCTACCTGCAGAAAACCATTACTTATAAAAGATATTTACTAGTGTAAGTAGTAAAGGCTGAATGTCCAGTATTTTATTTTTAAATATTTTTCTATGTGTTAGTCCTATCATTATAGTTGAAACATTAAATCATTCCGCATCTCAGTTCATCCTGTTGTAGCGGCCAACCATTTTATGACAGCTAGGACAAGTATGGATTACGTCTTTGCAGGCATCCAGGATGAAAGGGATTAAACAACACCCAATCCATAACCTGGAATAACAGAGTAAACATAATAACCTGATTTAAAGCAATAATTAAATATATGAAATAAAACGTAATAAGCATTTCTAAGTTCTTGTTTATGAAGGTTAAACATACATCTCGTGATCCAATTCAAACATATAAGTAAGACAAAACAGATATTGGTTTTCGACTTTACTGTTCTCTGAATTAACGGGGGTGTAGAAAAACTGAATGAAATACATCAACAGAGAAAAGTTTAAAATAGTAAGTACCAACAATAAATTTATGAACATGCCAACATGAATTAAAGCTATCAACAATATGAACCCCTATTAAAACCTGGAGTGATATCTCTTGTTTTTTTTTCGGAAGGATTCCCTCAGTCGAATTATCTTAGAAGAATTTGGCTATTATGTTTAGGTCCTCCTTTTTATCATATAGTTCCTAAAGTTTTAACGTATTTACGCATGTCTAGCTTTCAAATGTTAAGGTTTGAGCATACCTGACAAAGGTAAATCCACAAAAGCGCGTATTTATTTTTTTAATTGACAAACAAGTGACACTACAATCAGTTTCAAAAACGATTTTTTCCACATTTATGTCTTATTTCTGTATTTATTATTTAAAATATGCTTCAATCAATGACCCACTCTATGACAGGGAAAATGCGTGTTATGATACGGGTTATGTTCTTCTCGTATATTTTGTGATGGTATGATACTAAACACCTAACGGGAGTGATTGTGCTTGATTTTCATATGATGAAGACATACTCTTTCAATCAGTTTAATTGAGGTCTGGAGCTGGCATGTCAGTAACCGCTAGTAGTCCTTTGTTAATTTATGTATCATTGTCATTTTGCTTAGTTTCTTTAGTTGCCTATTCTGACATCGGAATTGGAATTCTTTTAAACTGAGTTTTCTTACCTTTACTGTGCGTATTGCTGTGTGTTTGTTTATTCAACATTGTCTGATGGTATAGGGGGAGGGTTGAGATCTCCTAAAACATGTTTAACCCCGCCGCATTTATGCGCCTGTCCCAAGTCAGGAGCCTCTGGCCTTTGATAGTCTTGTATGTTTTTTATTTTTATTTTAGTACATTTATATGTTTCGGAGTTTAGTGCGACGTCCATTTTCACTGAACTAGAACACATTTTGTTAAGGGGCCAGCTGAAGCCCGCCTCAGCGGGAGGGATTTTCTTGCTGTTTTGAAGACCTATTGGTGGCATTGGGTTGATTTCTGCTCTTTGGTCGGGTTGTTGTCTCTTTGACACATGCCCCATTTCCATTCTCAATTTTATTTTATATTGTTTGGATCTTAATATATGTTGCCATATATCATCATTTTCATTTAATTGAACGAAAGAATTGAACCCTATTTGGGCGTACCAAATTATAAGCCTGGTATATTTGACGAGTCTTTATCATTAGAAGACATCTTGATCGGTTAAGATCATCACAAAACTATAAACTCTACTGAATGGAAATACTTCACAATAATAAATATAGGGACGTTTATTTTTGACATTAGTCTGATAAAAATCAACCAAATTGTTATGATTTATATAGGAATTAATGAATCAATAGCTTAAAAAATAGTACAACCTGTATAATACATATCAATTTAAATTTTTTTTCAGTCAAATACGTCTTTGGTGCCGGACCGTCAACATAAATACTCAGTTGGGTAATGAGAATTTTAAACTTTAAAACATCATAAATTAAACTTATAAGCTTAAATATGTAGATTGTCCATGACAAAAACATTAAATAATATAGTTTGAGAATACTTTATAATAGTAACATGAGTAAACGTGAATACAATTTTCACTTTTGCTGATGTTGATAGCGTATAAATATGTGCACCAGTTGCTGCTTTTAAAATGTAAGTGAACAGATTTGTCCTCAATTGATCATAATGGTCACAAATCAGCATCAAATGTGTTTCATCGTCAACAGAATGAGAGATCGAAAGAACCAATCTATCGGTTTCTATCAATATACAGACAAGTTCTACAATAGCTAGGTACTTTCGTAGGTTGATACATTTGAGCGTTCGATTTTGTCAGGTTTATGGACTTCCCCCCTTTTTTTTTTATTTAACTTGGAGTTCGGTATTTTTGTTTATACATACATGTATTTGTTTTTTAGTTCCTTTTTGCAAGCATACGTTTATCACTTTGGTATCCTCCGCCTCTCTTTATAAGTTTATGTGTTCTTATTTTTGCATTTCTTGTACATTTTGGAACAACTGTTCCAGTTGAAGCTAGGGTAATTTTGATTCTTGCACACAAGATAATGTGTTACTTGTTGATAATCACACACATCTAAAGTGTCTATACGAATTCGTTTTCATTATAATGTCTTAATGTCGTGTAAACATGCTTTCCTGTAGCAATTAGAATACGTATCAACTCCCTTCAAACCAGCAGAAATGTTTTATCTTGTGAAGTGGTATTTGTATGGTTGTTCGCATCCAACCAATAGCATGCATGATAACAAGAAAAAGTGAATCATTCCCGACTCCTTAAATGTTCAAATTGTACTGAACTGAAATCTCTCTTTTAAAAGAAACTTTTGAACTACTCGTCATTCCTTGTAAAAATATCGTAATTCAAATTCCCGTATGTCAGAAAGTTTTCAATTCAGGTCATATACTGCAGATTGTATACGCAATTCCAATGCTGAAAAATCCTCAGATGAAAACTATTGTTTCATTCGCATCAGTAACTTCTCTATTTTTATTATATGAACAATGATCTGTTTAATCTACGACTTGGGGCTATTGTGGGCTGGACACCTTAAAGAAGGATGAAAATTATCCGTAGAACGTATCAAGTTAGATTTTTTTTTAAGTGTGTGATATCAAAGCCAATCTCTTACCTGATCTATTAATTTTCAAGACTTCAATAAGAACTAAGCTGTTGATGTAACATTACAACCACCAGTCAGACCTCTGTTTGACGTCCAAGAGTTTTAGGCAACAATACGTGCAAGCAATACTTTTTTGGCCACAATGATTACACTTAATTTTAAATGAATGACAATAGATTAACTACTAATATTGTCCCGAATATAACATACCCTATAATACACATCACACCAGCAACAACCCATGTCATTGTTCCCGTTTCATAGTGAGTTGACGTTAGGATGTCTGCTCCACAGCTTTGACAATGGGTACGAACAGGTGCCTCTCTGAATTGTTGTATAAGAACTGTCGGCTGCCCAGTGACAACAACGGTCGGATTAGATTGTTGTGTTCCATACCCAGTGGATTCTCGCTGTGCAGGATATCCACCAGGTTGGTTGTAATTTCCTGGGTAAGCTGTCAAAAAAGGTTGCTACATAATTATTGTCAGAACTGAAAGAATATATGTACTAAATAGCATACATTATTTAAATAAGCCTGATTGCAATTTAATTTTGAAATCAAAGAAAATTACATTTTCTTATATTACAAATAATTAAACACAGATAGAATGTTACATCTGAAATTCTGACAATCAGCCTTTAGCAAAAACGGCATCATAATAATATGTAAAGCAGAGCAATGCAATAATCAATTTAGATTCGGTTTAGTGACCGGGAATTCGGAGTTTCACTGAAAATGGAGAACTGACGGTACAATGCAGAAAAATTTAAAAGAAAGAAAGACATTGTCAAAAACCACTATCTTGTATTCATTATCCGACATTTCATTTTCAACCACGATGTTGTGATATTTGTGAGAAAAATGGTAAAAATCGATCTTCCTGCCGCTACCTTCAAACAAATGTTTAATCAAAGGTAGCATGGATACGTATTCAAATGAAGTTGAATTATTGACTCAAAAGCAAATAAAACGATCACATTTAACTCAAAATGCATGTAATAAACATGTTGCAATTGAAGTATTTGACATAAAAAGGCCACTTTAAACATGGTTTTCAGTAAAATAAGTTATTGGCCAAGGCCTTATTCAAAAATAATTTTACACATATTCTATTAAAACATCTTTATTAAAGATATCGTGTAGCAAAATTTCTTTTTGGGAAAAGACTTGCCTGATATCTAAATATTAAGACTAGATCTCAAAATGAAGCTAATTTTAAGTTTTAAATCAAATGGAGGAAGATCGAATCCTGTCTTGGGTATGAAAAAAATCAGTTCTAACCAGCCAAAATAATCATCTCGAAAATCAAATGGTATTCAACATATGAATAGCGTCTCCTGTAGTTTCTGACAGAGAAATATTCACTAGACATACGTATGCAAGTTCTTCATCTAAAAACAAAATGTGATTAGCTATTATTACCTGGAGGTGGCTCATTATACATCGTAGGGGACTGTCCATTCTGTGAGAGTGGAGTTTGTTCCTTCGACATTATTTCACAAAATTGTTTAAAACCTCTGTACAACCAAAATTGCCTTTATTGACAAATAATGATATGTGATCATAAGTATCAGATAACATTCATGTGACTTTTTGATTGTCTATTTATAGTTTTGATATCATCTGTTTTCTATTTTGAATAGAGAGCCTTTAAATAAATTTAAAAACAATTTAATGAATCAACTAAATGGTTTGTCATAAAAAGTGAATGATTGGTTGGTTTTTTTTTGTTGTTTTGTAGACGAAACGCGCGTCTGACGTACAAAATTACAAAAAAGGGTATGTTGAACAAGGGAAGAAATTAAGTCTAATTTGACGTAATGCATCCTTTATAGCCAATTTGACGCTTGCTTATATTGGTTTTACTGTCGGATGGAGAAAGTCCATGTACCGAACTCCAAGGCAAATTCAAAATAGTGAAGTCCAAAAAACTAACATAAACACTTTCAATCAACGGAACAAGTGAAAAACAACTGCCATATTCCTGACATGGTACAGGCATTTTCCGAAGAAAATGGTGGGTTAAATCTGGTTTTATAGCTAGCTAAACATCCCACTTGTATGACAGTTGTTTATAGATTCGTTATATCGACAAAATTGGTTGAGCAACCAAAAACAGATATAATAGGTTAATGTGACAATTATTGGGATCCAGCAGCCAAATCTGTGAAAAAAATACCGACATACAACACAACTAACTAAAAAATTCAAACAAACATACTTTATTTGAACTTTGGTGGATAGTTGTCTCATTGGCAATCATACCTCATCTCCTTATTTTCATATACAAATTAATCTAACAAAGACGCCAACAAGTAAGTGTAGTAGATAGTAAATTTGACAATGACGTCAACAAAAAAGTTTTTGTCGTTGAAAGTACATACCGTATATAGTATACACTTTCTCGATTAAGTAAAAATTAAGTATATATAAATACAAGGGTAAACAAAACAGAAAAAAAATCCTTTGTGTGCCCGAATCGCACCAGGAAAGCCCAAAGTTAAAAAGTCAAAAACCCGATGGCGGATGCATGAATACTAAGTCACGTCAAAAGTCATAAATGAAATGAGTCTAAATGAATCATTGTAAGGGTTTGTTAACGTACTGAGATCATGGCAACCCCCTATACGAGACAGCCAATTGAAAATTCCAATTCCGATTAGATGTAGCTGCGTATTTTTGCATCCCACACATCCAAATGGACTCCCGTCTTCAGCACCGCATGAGTGGGTCAAGCGATGACCATTTTCCAGTCACCCCTTGGTGTCTGCTTTAACTGTTTGTCCGGTTATTTCGATGAGAAGAACAAACGGGGTTCCTCGTTATATATACACTATTCGTACAATGTAGGAAAATATGAAATGTTATTGTACAAGCTTCAGAAACATTGTTTTTATCCTGCAATTTAACATTAAACTTAAACTTATTGTTTAAGAAATAATTCATGGTTTGTCATTTATATTCGTATTTTACCCCTCGCTAACGCTCAGGGTAAAATAATCGAATATAAATGCCCAACCCATGGTTAAATGAAAACAAATCTACGGCTGCCATGAATTATTTCGATTCTAATAGGACAAATTCGGTAATTTTGTTAACCGTGAAAGCCCTATACATACGATACTGTTTTGTCTGTTCCGTTTTACCCAATTTTGATAATATTAGTAATAATATATAATTCAATGATTTTTTTTTTAATCGCATTTTTCACTTATAAATTTTCTTCCAATGTAATTTTATTCGTTCTGAGGCGTACAAGAAGCTTTAAAACGCCTGGTATTTACATTTGATTTTTTGTTTACGGAAACATGTTTGTGATGTCACCTTGTTTCGTTGCCATGTCAAGACAATAATATCATTTCGCGGAATTTTCGTTTTATGAAATTTTACCATGAAAAATAAATTGAAATGGACTGAATTGGTTATTTTGCTGAAGACTAGAGATAAATATATTGTATCTGAAGCTTGGCCTTCGTAAACTGGGGATTTTGATGTCGAAAATTGAGAATATCTGGCAGTATAAATAAGTTGGTCGTAACGCGGAACAGCCGTTTATGTGTATTACTGCGTTTGCGCTAAAGGTAGATATATTGTGATTATACTGGTTGACGATAATAGGTCGTCATATTAGAATTTCTTTTAGATCCCAACCGTTGAATTTGTTTTTGAATGAAATCGACATGATTTTAACGCGGACCGCGATGAGGACCCCATATTGGACTATGACGTAAATAGTTATTTGCACATAACCTTTCACTTGCAACAGAAGCAGGATACCAGATGATTAAAAACGTATACTAAGTAAGTGTGAATTAACAAATACTAGTATTCCCTTAGCCAGTAAAATAGCCCCGGTGCTAGCAATATTATAAACATGACAACCACGTCAAATGATAAAATCACACTAGTAATTGATCATTTGTTCATGAATTATAACATTTTATATTCAAAACTTGTAAGACCCCTCAAAAAAGGAGATAGAACAAAGTTAACGATAAAACAGTGATTGAATTATCTTAGAGTAATTCTACAATTATAGTGTGCTCTACTTAATTTTTTTCATGTGCAGAGACTTATAAATTTATGAATTATAAAGATACTAAGTTTTCAACTCCCTTAGGCAAAGTTGACCTAAGATGGATTTGGCTATTTTTAAGGTCCTTTTTGGTCATATAGCTCTTCAGCTTTTCGGTTCTTATAAATCCTTGGTTTTCAAATATTCGGCTTTCAGAGTTTCTGTTGAAAGTACATTAAGAAAACGCTTCGAACGCGTGAAATTTATAAAGTGGTGCTTTCATTTTCGTTTCTGCTCTCAATTTCAACCAGGACGAATACAAGTTAAAAATGACCATCTTCATATTCAAAGCAGAAGTATCTGCATTTCAGTTACAAAATTGCATGGAAAGCTAAACCACGTGCATTATAATTCAATATAAAACTTCAAAGCACCCGTTGTAATAAGTTATTGTAAAGGTTTTTTTTTTCATGTGCAGAGATTGTTGCTTTCTTCAAACACGAGGCGCTCGTTAATCTGACGCCCCTTTCAGAAGCCTCATACAACAGTAAGGATCACTGGACGTCAAGGTAATCTCCGACTTTTTTTTACCATGTCATTATCTGCCCATCAATTCCGCAATGATTATTTCTTGTTACCTCTTTGTTTTCTCGAAATTCCCTTTCATCAAGAATTTAAAATAGACTAGCGATATCTTAACTGCATCTGGTAAAATGTTAAAAACATCAGAACTGCAAATGTACCCTTTCAAACGTCACCAGTGTCTGAGCAGAAAGTTGATGAGCCAAGGTTATGTCAAAGAACGTCTTGTTCTGTTTCTAAAAAAGTTCATTGGAAGGTACCAAGACCTTGTTGATAAATATTCCGTATCAACTTCACAAATAATACATGCTGGTCTTGAAGTATAGATTCTAGGTATTGACGTTGTTTATCATCTTAATTACGTGTTAAAGTTACCCATTATATTTTTTAACCTTAACTATTTATCCATATTTGATTATATACTTATGACGTGGATCGGTACTTATACACCCCGCCATTGTGTTATTGTGCTATGGTCAATTTTGAGTTCTTGTCTTTCATTTTTTCTTATGTACTTTGTCTATATGCGATTTTGTGTTTCTTTGTTGAAACAGTTATTTGTTTTATAATGATTACAATTATATTACAATGTTGACTGCTGTATCCCCATTTTTGACGTTTTTACCTATTATGTCTGCTTGTTTTGCTCACACATTGTTGTCAATATAATGGAATTCTATGCGACTGTCATACAAGAGAGAGGTTTAGCTCGATATAAAACCAGGTTTAAAATCCACCATTTTCTACAAAGGGATATGTCTGTACCAGGTCAGGAATATGACAGTTGTTTTCCATTCGTTAGATGTGTTTGAGCTTTTGATTTTTGCCATTTTATAAAGGACTTTCCGTTTTTAATTTCCCTTGGAGTTCGGTATTTTTGTTATTTTACTTTTTTCAATTTAAAAAATTTACTGTTTACAAACTGTTTAATTTTCGAAACACTGAGGATGTTCTACCACCAGACATAGATTATCTTAGCAGTATTTTTATAACCTTTTGGAATTGTGGGTTCTTAGTGCTCTTTAACTTCGTACCTGATTTGGCTATCTTGCATTTTATTTTAATCGAGAGTCACTGATGAGTTGTTATGTACACAAAATGCTCGTCTGTCATACCAATTTTAAGCCTGGTTTATTTTGGCCTCCATGATAAAGCCCCTCAGCTGACAGCAGAATAAAGCATATTAAAGCAATAAATATGAACTGCATATGGCACAATTTATTACTAAATTAAAACGATACAAAACAATCTGAATTAAAATATAAAATCAATGATTATGAAACTTTTTTTCCGTAAAAAGAAATAATATTTTTGATTTTACGATTAGAAGTACTAAATGAAAAGGTAAATAGGAATATCACAATTATATCTATATATCTACATATCTAAACAAAAACAACCAAAAAAACGAAAAAAAAAATATCATTATGCAATCACAGAAGATTTTTATCGACACTAAATATCATATATTATTATAATTGTAATATGTAATGCAGTAGTATTGTCTGCAATTATCTACACCTCATTTAAGGTGTGTCATAAGTCATTTTACAACATAAATTAGATGACCAGAAATCTGACACCACAATTAGTTTGAATATCTTTTTTTTTACAAGACATAACATACATTACACTCTGAAAATTATAAATAAGGGAGAAAGAGATGTTCTACGATTTTGATCACATGGCATTTTGAAACAGTGTCATGTTTGTAGAAAAGAGCTAGGCACAATGGCTTTGTTGGGCTCTTAACTACATTCGGTTGAAGCGTCCAATGCTGTGGCGACATGATGGACAGGTGTGAACGACATCTTTGCAACCATCAATACAGAAAGGGATCAAACAGCAACCTAGCCACAACCTGAAAAGAGATAAACACAAGTAATATGATGCTTAACAAAGTAAACACGCATAAGAATTTATTAGATAAGGTCAATTGTCGTATTTGAAATAAGTATAGAAATTGCACGAACCTATCGGTTAAAAAAGTATAAACAAAAATACCTAAATCCAAGGTAAATTCAAAAAGGGTGAAGTCAATGAAAGTGAATTATAAAACCTGACAAAATCAAACGTTAAACTATATCAATCAACAGAACGAACGGTAAACACTACAGTCATATTCCTGACTTGGTACAGGCATTTCCGGAGAAAATGGTGGGTAACATCACGCGTTTTTAATCACGTTAAAATACTGTTACAGGAATTAACATGATATTCGTGAAATGATGCCTATATGTCCCTAATATTTTTTTATTGAGTTTTGACATTGCTCCTGTCGTCGCTTCAAATACACGGGGTGAAACTTACATGGTTCAATAACCCACGAGATATTATAAAAAAAATCGTATTTAATATATAAAAAACAAATCCGATTACTTATTGCTTCTACGTATTTATACGTCCTTGGATTAAAAATTTTAGTCTTTTAGCGTTCTTGGTGAAGGGTAGAAATGCGCTTCAAACGCGCAAAATTTATAAAGTGTAGTCATTCTTGTACGAGTGCTGGTAATGTGTGTTTTGAGGGCTAATGTTTTCCCTATAATATAAAATAGTTACAGCATTTCAATACAGAATAGATTATATACTTATATATAAAACAAATGTTTTTGGGGGATAGAAGAAACAACTATATTCAAAAGTCAGTTAGACAACAACAACAACAAAAAGAGAAAACCAAACCAAGACAAGAACGATTTAAACTTTCAAACTGGAAGATATGCAGACAGGTTTTCTTTCCGTTTCCCGTTTTCCACATTTTCATTCATATGGGGTCCTGTTTGAATTGTTTTACACTAGTCATGTTGGGGCCCTTTATAGCTTGCTGTTCGGTGTGAGCAAAGGCTCCGTATTGAAGGTCGTACTTTGACCTATAATTGTTAACTTTTTATACATTGTGACTTGGATGGGGAGTTGTCTAATTGACAATCATACCACATCTTCTTATTTATATTGGATTAAATACTACATGAAGCCAAACATTTCCATGCATTTTATATAACATCGATCAAACTATGTGCGAAACAATAGATTACAACTACATTTTTATGTTAAAAACCAAATTCTTAGAGATATAAACATAAGGAGATGTTGTAATGATTGCCAATGAGACAAATATCCACCAAAGTTCAAATGAAGGGTATGTATTTGCGTATGAAAAATTATAATAAATCAGAATGAAATACAAGATAATTGAAGCCCCTTTTTATTCTTTCTTGTAGTTTCTGGTCAGCTGCCAATAATTTCTAGAGTATTTTAGTTCGAGCACTACTACTGATATGTGAAAATTCTAATTATTAAAATTTTGAAAGACTAACAGTACGTATCATGAGGAGGGATTAATCAGTGTATTTAAATCAAAAGGTCGATTTCGAGCTAAACGTTCCACAGGGTTTTAATGTTATTTGTAAAGTATTTAAAGGAAAACTTGTGTTCCTTCAATTTTCACCTTCAGGAGTATATTGTAATGGTGGTGTAAAATAGTATTGTGTATGTAAATGACATAAATAACAACTAGTGCACATGGTGAATTAGAATAATTAGTTGCTTTTCTTGTTTCATTTATTTGCACACTATGGTATTTATTTGCAGATTTAGTAAATCTAGGTAAGTTAAAGATCTAAAGAGAGCAGTGTTCTCTGAATAGAGCAGGACACACACGGGTACTAAAACGTGTTGTTATTGCAATGTTCCCCTTATTTCATTTAATGAGATGTTTTGTAATTATACAGGGCAATCGATGCCAACTATATATATTTCAAGGACATAAATATCAAATTATATTTTGGATTACCCATTCCATAATTTAATTTCGATGAACCTCAGGAAATCGTAAAAAAAAACACCGAACTAAGAATAGTCGTGTAAATTCGTGAAGCCGAAGTTATGATTTGAGTATTGAAAATTTTTTCAATGTATTAGCGAGAGAGTTTTAAAAATGCAGTTTTCTACACGGGTACAAAATGTTGACACAGAACCTTCTCAATCTTATAACTGGAAGGCTGTTGAATCATTATCTAATGTAACATCCACCATTATATTTTTGTTTCAACGGTTGCATGCATTTACTTACAAAATAGTTGCACGATAAACTGTTTTAAAACAGTTTATTTCGGAAACCTTGAACTTTCGAAAGAACACAATATCCAATTTGTAAAATAAATTTAAGATTTTTAAAAAGGTCAAACAGATTTCTTGTACCTTCATAAAGTGTTATTGATATTAGAACACTTAAGAGCGTTGTTTGCAACTTGGGAATGAGTTCATAATCAGAATGGGCAAAGAGCGCAATATTAAGTACAGTGGTGTTTCAAGGTTTGAAATTAGCGATTCCACTTGTCTGTGCTCAGGAAGTTGCCATATTTTGCTGTGGAAGCGTAATGATGTGGACAGCAATATCCTACAACTGCAGAACAAACACAGTGCGTGTCCAACGAAATTTGACGGCTCAACTTTAAAGAGATTGATACTTTGCGGCCACACACGCTCAGTATTATTGACCGACAGAGGGAGATATTTCAGCAGGACAATACCCTACCACAGACAGCAAGGGTAATCATGTATTTCATCTCTCCGAACAACATTTATGCGTTTTGCGATCCTCAAGTCGACGGATTTGAACCTCATAGAACATTTTTTGGAACGAACTTGATCGACGCGTCGCCAATGCCATCCGCACCTCAATCATTGGTCAGTCAAGTGTTGCTACATTAATGGCACAGGTTATTTGATTCGATCCTTGTTAAGAATATGCAGAACAGTGTTAGCCGCACATCGTGGTCACAATAGATACTGACTTCAACGTCATTGGGCCGGAAATTCATTCAGTATAGGTTATAGAATATTAGACATGTTCTTATTTTTTACGGAAAGTTTATTTCATTCCTATTCTTATCCAATAAAATAACTAAACTTTGGAAATACCGATATATTTCGTTTCCAAAACATACATGAAATTTCTTTCATAAAATATAAAATCATATTACAAAACAGTTTGGTAAAAAATGGAATGCTAACCGAACAAAACTAAGTCATGAGAAAAAAACATAAGTTTTTATATAGCTTGTTATTTTATCATTTTATTATTCGAATGGTTTCGAATCGCTAGATGAGCAACAAATAAAAGCAAACATTTAAAATAAAATATATATATATATATATATATATATATAATATAGAAGAAGATGCTTAGAAATGTAAAAAATTGTAAAACAACAATATACAAACATAGGCGGCGAAAGAAGGCTTCAAGTAAGGGAGCTGGGGCAAAATATGTTTGAATTGTAAATTGTTTTAAAACGATCGTCCAGATGTATACAATAGCAAATTAACAGGTAGCATATGCTTGTGAATTTAAAGTTAAATATGTGGTACTTAAATAACATTCATTCCGCCGTCTATGTATACAGAGGAGATATATAAAACATTTATACAAATTAATATAAGACATTATATTGCATTGGATACAAAGAAAGAACTAAACATTTCTACAAAGTTGTAGTGCTAAGGTTAATGTCGAAATTTCATCCTCTATTGTGACGACCGATAGTGGTGCGACAATTTGGACACGTGTGGACGACATCCTTTATACTTTTGATACAGAAAGGAATTAGACCAAGACAACAAAGAAGAAACCATATTCTGAAAATAAATAAATTAAATTGCATGTTATGAGTTTTCTACTTCTTTGACAACACAACCTTAGTGGTCATAATAGTATCTTGTGATTGTTCTTCCAACAATATAAGCATTGTCAACCTGTATGTTTTAGGTGATTATTTATTTTAAAATGTACGTGTTAGCTACATCATGCACACAATAATCTTCAAAGTGTAAACCAAGATTGATTGATTAATTAATTGTTGTATATAACTCCCAACTGCACGATTTTTTTTAGGATGTCAATAAGTTAAACAGTATATTAAAATTGTGGAAAAGTGGATGAAAGATATAACGAATATAAACATTATATTATATACATTTTACTATCACTGGAAAAGTAGGTATTCAGTTTCTCGTCAGCATGCCTTTGGTGCTGGGATATTTGTCTCAATGGCAATCACATGATAAAGAAAGGGGGATTGAGCAGTCAAAAAACTTTGGTTTTAACTCTGTAAGTATTCCTCATTTCGTAAGAGGTTATTTTTTTATAATTATATCTTTTGGGTTCATGTCTTGAGAATTTAGTGATGACGGCTACTTTGGTAATGTTTGTTACATTTATTCACAGCTTCTCTCGACTTCGCGCGATGTAGAGCTTGACATGTTATACGTTATAAAATTAATTGAATTTGCATTAAAAAAAGGCCGTTTGTTGACCTGTAGATGCTGTCCTTTTTCGTCTGTCCCAAGAAAGCACCCCCTTTTATTCAAATTACATCCGTTTTTCTTGCATACTTGGTTAGAATCCGTAATTTGAGCTTTTTGAAATGGCAGTATTATTCTCACAAAAGCTGTTTGAACAAACACTCAAAAAAGCGGACTAAACTGAGATTGACATCATTGTGATGACAGTTTGTAAAGTAACATTTCAAATAATAATGTGGTATAAACTTAATAATAATGATCCTTGTGTTCCGTAACACGACAACTTTAAAATTAAAACAACTAGTAAACATGATTCCAATATTTACCAAGACATAGAAGGACATGTCGTATTATATGATATGAAGTTTCTCTTTACAAAAAAGAACATACACAGATACCCATTCGGATTAACATAACATATTTATCTTGAATCGCTTTTTGATAGAAGCTTTAAATAAAGTCATATACCAGTAGCATATCGAGTTTAGTAGAGATTTAGTAAACCTAAAACGTGTGAAGGGGTTAGTACGAATCTATTAGACTTGGAACATGACGAGGTTAACACAAATGTGTAAGACTTGAAAGCATGACAAGTTTAGTACAAATGTGTCAGACTTGAAAGCATGACGAGTTTAGTACAAATGTGTAAGACTTGAAAGTATGACGAGTTTAGTACAAATGTGTAAGACTTGAAAGTATGACGAGTTTAGTACAAATGTGTAAGACTTGAAAGTATGACGAGTTTAGTACAAATATGTAAGACTTGAAAGTATGACGAGTTTAGTACAAATGTGTAAGACTTGAAAGTATGACGAGTTTAGTACAAATGTGTAAGACTTGAAAGTATGACGAGTTTAGTACAAATGTGTAAGACTTGAAAGTATGACGAGTTTGGTACAAATATGTAAGACTTGGAAGCATATGACGAGGTTAGTACAAACGTGTGAAGAATTACGAGGCTAGTACAAATGTGCAAGACATGGATGCATGACAATTTTTGTACAGATGAGTAAGAATTTGAAACATGACGAGATCAGCACAAATGTATAATACTCAGAAATCTGACGAGATCATAAGATATGTCAGAGACTATTACAATAAAATGTATTGCTATATTCAAATTAGTCAAGGTTTATGTTTCTAAAATCTGGGTCTCTGGTCAAATATGAATGTCTTTTCAAATCGAAACCATCCAAATCCGTGACGATTCTCATCTCATCCTATTAAAACGTCCAATCTTGTGTTTGACAACTTGGACAAGTATGGATCACGTCCTTGCATGCGTTAAAAACAGAATGGAATTAAGCAACATCCAAGCCATAACCTGTAAAACATATTTTATTATTTTACCTTTCAAAAATCGTAAATTGAATAATGTACATATATAAATATGTAAGGTTATGAGAGCCAGAGGTATACGTCAATATGACGTAATGGGAACTAGAGGCTCTAAAGAGCCTGTGTCGCTCACCTTGGTCTATATGCATATTCAACAAAGGACACTCTCCAACATTGAAGACGAGAAAAGAATTAATGACAAAAATATCTTTTTCTTTTTTTTTTTATCTTGTATTGCTGATCATTGAAGTTTCTTTAGTTTCTCTCTATCTTATTTAGCTTTTGCTCCAAACACAAAAGAGGGTAAAAAAATCCTAATTTAAGGGCAATAACTCATATAAAGAGTAACAGTCTACTAATTATATCAGCAAAATTTGACTTTTTAGCAGGTCTTGTCTTGCTTATCATTTTTGATTATTTAATCTATTATAATTTTTATCATATAAGGCAAAACGCAAAAAAAATGGAAAAAATCGTCATTAAAGGGCAATAATTCCAACAAGGAGTCGTCGGACAATTTCCTCCATTTGTCTTAATTGTAGATCTTGTCTTGCTGATCATTTTTGTAAATTTAAGTTTCTTTCTATCTATTATAAGTTTTAAGATATTTGACAAAAAACGCAAAATAAATTGTACAAATGGTCATCAAAGGGCAATAACTCTAATAAGGAGTCAACTGACGATTTCAACTATAAGATTTATTTGTAGACCTTGTCCTTCAGATCATTTTTGCAATTTAAAGTTTCTCTCTATCTATTATAGTTTTCAAGATAATAGGCAAAAATCGAAAAAAGTGGTAAAATTTGTCATTAAAGGGCAATAACTCCTACAGGAAATCGTCTGACAATTTTGACTTATATAGAGAATTGGTAGAGCTCAACATCCTGAACAATTTTACCCGTTTCAGATTTCCTCTATTTATAACGGTTATCAGAAGAAAAGACTAACTTGCATTTTACCCCTAATTTTAGCCACGTCGGCCATCTTTGTTGGCAGGCGGGGTCATCGGACACATTTTTTAAAACAAAATACCCTAATGATGATTGTGGCCAAGTTTGATTTTATTTGGCCCAGTAGTTTCAGAGGAGAAGATTTTTGTAAAAGATTACAAAAATTTATGAATTTTTTTTAAAAATTGACTATAAAGGGCAATAAATCCTTAAGGGGTCAATTGACAATTTTGGTCATGTTGACTTATTTGTAGATCTTACTTTGCTAAACATTACTGCTGTTTACAGTTTATCTTTATCTATAATAATATTCAAGATAATTACCAAAAACTGCAAAATTTCCTTAAAATTACCAATTCAGGGGCATCAACCAAACAACGGGTTGTCTGATTCGTCTGAAAAAATTAGGGCAGATAGAACTTGACCTGATGAACAATTTTACCCGATGTCAGATTTACTCTAAATGCTTTGGTTTCAGAGATATTAGACAAAATCTACATTTTACCCTTATGTTCTATTTTTATCAATGTCGGCCATCTTGGTCGGCGGGCGGGATCATCGAACACTTTTTTTAAACTAGATACCTCAATGATGATTGTGGCCAAGTTTGATTCTATTTGGCCCAGTAGTTTCAGGGGAGAAGATTTTTGTAAAAGATTACAAAAATTTACGAAAAATTGTTAAAAATTGACTATCAAGGGCAATAACTCCTTAAGGGGTCAATTGACCATTTTGGTCATGTTGACTTATTTTTAGATCTTACTTTGCTGTACATTATTGCTGTTTACAGTTTATCTCTATCTTTGCTGTACATTATTGCTGTTTACAGTTTATCTCTATCTTTGCTGTACATTATTGCTGTTTACAGTTTATCTCTATCTATAATAATATTGAAGATAATAACCAAAAACTGCTAAATTTTCTGAAAATTACCAATTCAGGGGCAGCAACCAACAACGGGTTGTCTGGTTTGTCTGAAAATTTCAGGGCAGATAGATCTTGACCTGATGAACAATTTTACTCCATGTCAGATTTGCTCTAAATGCTTTGGTTTCAGAGATATTAGCCAAAATCTACATTTTACCCTATGTTCTATTTTAGCCATGGCGGCCATCTTGGTTGGCGGGCTGGGTCGTCGGACACATTTTTTAAACGAGATACCCCAATGATGATTGTGGCCAAGTTTGGTTAACTTCGATTTAGTAGTTTCAGAGGAGAAGATTTTTGTAAAAGTAAGCGACGGACGACGGACGACGGACGCCAAGTGATGAGAAAAGCTCACTTGGCCCTTTGGGCCAGGTGAGCTAAAAAAATACTAACTAGAAGTCAACATACTGTCTTCAACAATAGACAAATGTGAATTCAAAATGTTGATACATGTCATAATGATTTAATGGAAATAAAGCACATAAAATGTTATTGTGCATGATGCTTTAATCCCAGTGTCGTAATGTTTTAAGGATAAATATGTTGCCAATGGAAAACTTTGGTTTACAAAGCGTTTTCCAAAATAAGATGTAGATATATGCCAAATATTTCATGTTATTAAATATGTCTGCCACGTCAGATTACCTTACTTGGCTGTAAACAGCACTTAGAGTGATGTAATGTTGGGAATATGTGATTAACATAAAGAAAATAGTGATTTGCACATGTTTTAAGGAATACATTATGAATGACGAGAATAATTTGTCCGGATAACCTTAATAGCCTGAATAGAATTGTACAGTTTAAACTGTCCACGGCTAACAGTGTAGTAAATGTTCAAACCAAATTAGTAAAAAAAATCTTTCATAAGTAACAACTGTGAAATCAAGATAAAAAACATGTTCCTATCTTCTGATATCTTAAAATAAAATGATGCAAGAGTAAATCATTGAAAACTAGAATATTGTAAATATCATTAATTACTTACATACAACATGTTTAGTCTTTATATCTGTAATTCTGTGTCGCTTCACTACTATATTTAGCCATATGATCTTGTGTGAGCTTCAGCATATACCATGATTGTTTTGATAAGATTCCGATCATTCCACGAAAACGAAAATCATTTGAAACGAGACTTGGGAAGAAGTTGCGATTTTTGTTACAGTGCAAATGATTTGGTAAAGGCGTCATTAGTACTAAGACTAAGTTAAATGTTATAAAAATGAGGAGATGTGATATGATTGCTAATGAGATAACTATCCACCAGAGTTAAAATGAAGTGGTAGTTAGCAACTTTAGGCCACCGTACAACCTTCAACAATGAGAAAAAACACATACCGTCGACATGACAAATGTCAAACAATTCAAACGAGATTGCTCGTTTTAACTCTTTTGATCATTTGCACTGCGTAATCGAGAAAAAAAACGATAGTCCTTTTTTAAAGCTTTCCAACTTATGAAAAAAAGACTTTCAAAAATTAAAAATGCATTTACAAATGACAGTATAAAAATATCATTGAGATGAATCTCTAGATATTATCTGTGTTGACCAATGTCAATTTTGTAGATACAGATGTGAAATGAATCTATTAGTATCACATGTGATATAATTTGCTTGGTAATTGAGGAACTTTTTGTAAAAAAGATAGATATTGATTTAAAATGTTAGTAAATTGTAACTTAAAGATAAAAAAAAAAAAAAAGAACAAAACTTTAATTTTGATAGAGTTTGTTTTGCAGAGACATTTTAACCAAAAATGAAGCTTTAAAGGTAGTAAAAATATGTTTAGACTTTTAGATACAAGTCAATTCAATGGGTTCAGATGTCTTTCGATGCAAAATTTTCAATAATTGACCAAAATTGTCTTCAGTGTCAGAGTCTTGCAATGTTTGAATTTTGATTTAATGGATTAATGTAAAATTATTTCAAAATCTCTAATTTTGGTTTGTTGATACTCTTCATGAACAGTGCAGTGATTCTGATTGTGTACGTGAAGCAAATACTACGGGAAATCGCAATATAATTAACTTTAAGCATTACACACTGTGAATTTTGGATGAAGCACTATTCACTATATATTAACATTTTCGTTGTAAATTATTTGACACATTTTTAAAACGATGAAATGTTGTCAGAATATTTTCGTATAAAAACTAGTGTTTCAACCAAAATTCGTTGTTACAAGGTTGCATAAAATCAAAAGAAAACAGTATCTACCCGACAAAACACAATACTCCAGCAACAACCCAAGTCATGGTTCCCGTTTCATAGTGAGTTGCGGTCAAGATGTCTGCTCTGCAGCTTGGACATTGGGTACGAACAGGTGCCTCTCTGAACTGTTGTACCAAAACTGTTGGCTGGCCAGTAACAACAACAGTAGCACTGGATTGTTGTCCGCCATACCCATACTGTGGCTGTGGTTGCGCAGGGTAACCGCCTGGCTGCTGGTTATATTGACCAGGGTATGCTGTAAAAAAATTAACCGATCGTGACATCAGAAGTTATTTTTTTGTTACATTTTATAGTTGAAACTCCAGAGATTAAAACACAATAAACAATGTATGTTGCCATTAAAATGTGTGCTACGAAATGTTCAACTTCATTGGGGGTAACGGATGTGACTTAAAGTCAGTACATTATAGAACCTGTTGTAAGTCTCAAGTACCAAATCATAAATCATTTTTTATCAGTAAATTTTAAATACTTGCTAGTTTAGATTTGAACCGTGAAATAAGGCAAACATACAGATCTTTTCTTAAAAAGAAAGGCTGTGCAAAAATACAATACTCGGGTGAAATATGTAGTAAAAATGAATTAATTCTCCATATATTAAGTACTTGGAGGCTGTTTTTAGGAACTAGAAACATTCTGTACAAAGGAGCCGAATCATTTTAGCCTGTGGCTCAATATTTCTAACTAAAATACTGTTTTGTTCATTTGTTCACATCATAGTGCTTTCAAGACAAAATATATACTGGTTGAAAAACATGACAAAGGAACGCTTTGACGTAAAATGTCAGAAAATCATCTCCCTCTTTACACCACCAAATTACTTAAAAACAATCCCTTTGTTTACTTTGAAAATCGGATGCAACTGACAAACACACATTTTTTTCAAAGGAAGACCTTAGGTTACTTAATTCTCGGGTTTTATAAACTGAATGGTTGCTGAATGATTGATTACCAAATTATAATTATCTTATTTCTTGCTTTAGCGTTAGTTCAGACTTTTACCTATTAGAAATGATATCGATCTTCATAATTATATTTTACTGTTGAAAAAAAGATCTAGCATTACATTGCATTTCATTCTTTAAATTTTGACCAGATACTATTACTACGTAGATAATGAATGAATGGCTTTCAGCATAATATATGACAGTAATTTTCCTTTGCCAAATCTGCAAATTTCTGTCAACAATTCTTCGAAATAACTTTTCTCTCATCTGTTATGTAAAGATGAAAATGTTCGTCCGCCTGATAGTTCGATCGTAAGATAAACTATTTGACCCCCAAGGGTGACTGGGGAGTAGAAATATGGTCACTTAGGTCTACTTCCGACCGTCAGTAAAATCCTAGTCAAAGTGGGGCGTCCCTTTAGCTGTGCGGGATGTACAAGCACATAGTCACGTCCGGTCAGAATGGGGATGTTAAATCCGATGCTTCGTGTAGAGAGAGTGCCACTCTCTGCACGGTAAGAACCCTTGCAACAACTCTTTAGGAGGTACGTAGGTGGGCCGTTGCAAGTCAAAATTTCTGTCCCTATCCAATTTACCCTCATTTTTCACTGGCAGTCCAAAATTCCCTAATCACATTCTTTTACAAGATCTACCTTTTGTATTTATTGTTAATTTGTTCTCGCTCGTTTCAAAAGTTGCGCTATTTAAGAATTCTTATTTTTATATGGTGTCTTACGTATTAGTTTAGCGTTTCAAATTTCTACCATTTAATGCAAAACTGTAAAAAGCGACAAAATAACCTCATTTTGAGATCTTTGTAAAACAAAGTTTAACAGTTTAACCTGGAAAGAGGATAGATTTAATAACTCGATAACATAAAAACCTGCTCGTCAGATACACCAAGAACAAATTATGTTCATTATGATTGAAACACGAATAACCCCCTATTGTCCGTTAAAGACATTTGTGTCTGTAACATGGGCTGGTTGAAAGGATACCTTTTTTGAATTTCAATAGTGAATAGTTCATGTGTAGTTTGTAAACATTTAAAAAAATCCAATATCAGCATATCTCAGGTGTACACATAATTCTCTTACCTGTGTACTGACCTATTTCGGATATAATTATTTAGTAGGTCTCTGTCTATATATACCTACATCTAATGCAATTATAGTGTTTTGTTGTCTCCATGACAATACCTTTAATATATTGATCAAACCAGGAAGAACACCTATTGTAACACTACTCTACCAGATGACATGTGTATATTTATAGACATTGAATTTCTATTTATTTCTTCAATATTTAGGTACACAGTAATTTTCCACTAAATTCTACTGTAAAGAAACGGGTGCGGAATGTTGGTCAATAATTGTAGCAAAAAAAAATAGATTTTTTTTTTTATATATGAAACGAAAAGAAATATTTTTTGTTTAGTATTGATTGATTTAATTTTTCAAAATAAACTGATTAAAATATCTATTACTAATTGCCAACAGTTTATTCTCCAAACAGTGAGCTTTATTTTGATTAATAAAGTCTATGTCCGTTGATTTCAAATTTCAAATAAAATAAACATTGAGTCCCATTTTTAATTCATTCATTGGTGAAAATTTTAAATGACCACTTTAGTTAAAGCCTATTAATACTGACCCAGAGGTTAAATTCAATTGTAGAGATAATGGTGGTCTTAAAAAAAGATTAAATATTACTTACCCGGTGGTGGTGGGTTATACTGCGGTGGTGGTGCACCTTTTTCCGTCATCTTTCACGAATAAACAAGGAAATTGATTAGGAATTCAATGCTTTAGAAATGTCAATATTTCGAAATACTACCTTTACAGGTTGGTACTGTTTACAGGTAATCGATCGTGCATAATAGTGCACAGGTGGCTGATTAGCTCCACTTTACATATCTATAACTTTGAAAGTCCCTTTGGTATTTTTCGCCACTCTTTATCAATATGTTCCCCTTTTGAGCAGGAATTGGAAGAAGTATGGTACACTCCTGTTCATCCGACATGCTATGTTCATGATTATAAATGTGCTATAATAGAGTGATCAGCAAATGAATGAATATAAATTTATATGAAAAAACAAGAAAATATATGTTCATGGCAATATTTTTTTTACCAAGTTTTCATTTCAAATAACATATTATTTCGATTTAAATGCATAGTGGATTTTATTTCATTTAAAAATATTTTCTAAATGAATGAAAACACCTTGTGCGGTTGATGTTAAGCATTGTTAAATTCCACATGGTTCTGGTCGAGAATACAAAACTTGAATAGAACTGAAAAAAAAATAGCATTTCAAAAAGTTTGATAGGATTAACAGAATTTCATAATCATGTTCAAAGCATCTGAAAAATCTATAAATAAACCATGCATTGGTTATAATTTTCAAATGGTAAATACTTGTTTAATGAATGTACACTTTCAAATGTCTTTGCTTTTATTCCCAAATGCCGTGGTTGCATCTTCAAATAGCAATTACACTAGTTTTTGTCTTAGGTTTAGCCCGGTCAGATTGAACTCACGACCTTGCGCCCAAAGGCGAGCACGCCACCACGAGACATGCAACGTAAGATGTCGAAATGCGAGGCTTATCATTAAACGCATTTTTTTTTCGTACAAGTTCCATCAAATAGTTGGAAGGGGGGCTACATATATGGTAAATGCATACACTATTTACAAATCCTACTCCTAACGTTGCCTTGTTGGTGAACTCAAACTCCTGGATCCGCATCGAAATTTCAACATTGTTATTTTAACTTTAAACGATGTATTGTTACCCCACATGATGGCCGGAACATTACTGTGCATATGTTAATTATTACCATAACCAAGGATTGAAAATGACGCCTTGGAAGGCTGTAAGACTATCTATACGTACTCCATTAAGTATTTAATACTTCAAAAAAATAATAATTAATATAAAGACCCAATGTGTAACTTTTTTAATCATATACCAAATTTTTTTCTGCAAATAGATAAAAGTCAAACGGACAATACATGTCGTGGAATTGTGGGTTCCATGTTAGCCATACTGTATTTTTGTGACGACAGATATAGGCAATCCGCCAATCGTCCCGTGATAAAATATCGATACATATTTTAACTGCTTTACCTATGAACCTAACTTTTAAATTTAAATAGGACGTATTCAATAAAAAAACTTGTATATAGTTCTGTGATCTATTTAGATCAATGTATTGGCACAGCCTATTTAAATGTAAATGTGAAAGAAGTAATCGTATCGCAAATTGACATTTTTCTAAATCCAAACAGTTGTTTTGTTAGCAGGTACATACTCCCAAGAATGTAGGAAAGGTAGCTGATTTTTTCGTGATTAAATCTTCAGAAACCAATTTGCTGTGCGAGATGATTGATTGTTGGTTGCTTAACGTCCAGTATCAAATATTTTATGCATGTTCAGAAGGAGAACAAATTAACAAAAACATACAATAGGTAGGTCCTGTAATATATATAGAGGCCGTCCGGGATGAAGGTCGGGGAAATGGTGACTGCCACTGGAAGATAATGGTATATCGAATAGGGACAGAAATATTGCCTTGCAACAGGCAACCTACGGACCCCTCAAAGAGTTGTTGCAAGGGTTTATAACGTGCAGAGAGCGTAGTACACTCTCTACACGAGGAATTGGATTTAACGTTCCTATTCTGACTGGACGTTGTTGCGTACTTGTTAATCCCGCGAGATGGATTGTAAGCAGTTTCCGCAAACAATTTATTTATTTACATTGTTGCATTCAATGTGTTCAATTAATTGGGGCAAAAATGAGCTGTGACACAAAAGAAATGTTTTATTTTTATTTTTTAATTCAAATAGTTGATAAGCAAACGCAAAAGAATGCGCGATCAAAGTGTAGAACGTGAAATTACATATAATGTAAATAAAACTTAACTACTGACAAATTATTTTCGTATTATTACCATATAAAAATCAATGTGATTGATTTATTAAATTATTGGTATACTTTGGGACATTAAATTTTGTTCCTATCATCAACAACTTGGTTGAAATAGCTGCATATCTGTTTGGCATTCGTCAAGTTTTCAGGGGTAAATTGAATATATTACTGATTTGATCTCGCCATAATCATTTTACACAATAATACAGCAACCGATTTCAAAGTGTAGTAGAGCACGATTTCCTATGGTACGGTTCGTTTTTTTTATATCCTTACAAAGCTTACAGAAAAACCTCTTTATTGTCATCTTCCAATTTCTTGAGTGAAACATGGCACATCCTCCGGCCTATGGTACTTACGTACCTCAGCTGATACGTGATGCCATGATAAGTTCTCATTGTGTCGATTTTTACGAACCGAAATACAATTTTGACTCAATACTAAAGTTCACCAGCACAAGGTCATGTTTTTCTCTGACTGTTAATGACTTCTTTTTACACTAGATCCATAGGGTGTTGGATTGTACTGGTTGATACTTTAGTCTTAATCGGATACATGTTTTTTTTTATTAAACTTCCCGCTAATACGACAATGTTAAAAATTCCGCTAAAATGACAACACTACGTGACTACGTAACTGCGAATACTCTCAGATCTGTACTTGTGTATTTTGTGTTGTGGGGATGTATAAATACCCTGCCACGTCCGGTCTGTGTTTTTGTTACTTGTTTTTCTCCTTTGTATCGATCTTGATGAGTTAAGCCCTTTCCAACTGATTATTGTAGTTTGTTCATATGTTGTGCTGTTACACCACTGTCCCAGCTTAGGGTGAGGGTTGGGCACCAGCAAACATGTTTAACCGAGTCACATTCTGTATGTGCCTGTCCCAAGTCTGGAACCTGTAATTCAGTGGTTGTTTTTTTGTTCCTGTATATTATATTTGTTATTCGTTTATTGTTTTGTACAGTTTGTTCTTGTGTTGTGTTGTTGCACCACTGTCCTAGGTTAGGGGAGGGTTGGGCGCCCGCCAAACATGATTAGCACCGCCACATTCTGTATGTGCCTATCCCTAGTCAGGAGCCTGTAGTTCAACGACTTGTTGCTGTATATCATTTTTATTTTTTGTTCATTGTTTTGTATATAAATCAGGCCGTCAGTTTTCTCGTTTGAATTGTTTTATATTTGTCATTTCGGGGCCTTTTATAGCTGACTATGCGATATGGGTTTTGCACATTGTTGATGGCCATACGGTGACCTGTAGTTGTTAACTTCTATGTCATTTGGTCTCGGGTGGATAGTTGTCTCATTGGCAATCATACCACATCTTCTTATTTTTCTATTCAAAGACGAACGAAGGAAATGATAATTTCACAAAATCGCCATCCCGATTTGGTTGATCGCTACACTGTCTATCTTACTAGAGAAATGTGCAGTAGAAATGTCCACTTGTGTCCACCTGCCATTGTTGCCGGTTATGTTTGCTCCTGATCTGAAGAAACTTCCTGCTAGATGTTACTTTGTAATTGCATGATAGGTGATACATCATAGACATCAGGGAATGCTTACTTGTCAATGCACTTAACACGTAGCCTGTAATTGAATTGCTTGTTGCTCTGATTGTTTGATTTCTGATATCTGATATGTTGCAAAGCACCTGTCCTATCTCCATGACAAATATGTTGTCCCGCAAATGAAGTCGGAAAACAACAACGTTTTTGTGTGTAAATCATATTACACAAACTGCTTGATAAATGAAACAGGTATTCACAATGAACTTGGAAACTCTACCTATACCCCTACGACATTTACCAAGGAGGAATTCTGGATACTAGTAATCAGTGGTCTGTTATATATGAACCTTTTGAATTTCAACCAAAGACGAAGAACAGGATCTTCCTTCACTGTATATGATACCTTAATTACATAAGTGTCCTTACAAACAACGTTATATTGCTGGGTCTTCCAAGTGCTCCACGAAACTTCTTTCTAAATTATTAACATCAATTTTATCTGCAATCAAAGCCGGGTTTCAAAGTTTTTGTGAGACTACCTATTCTAGAGACGGCGTGAATCAGATTTGTATACTAAAATGTTCCAAAGATCTGTAAGAGTACAAGCAAGACTCTTTCGTCTTGCAATAGTTTTAAAACACTTGACTTTTCTACACTTTACACAAGTATTCCCCATTCCAACCTAAAAGACAAATTGAAAGAATTGGTCCTGCTATGTTTCATAAAAAAGAATGACCAACTTAGATACAAGTATTTTGTCTTAGGGAGGGATAAATTGTAATATTTTGTAAAAAATCACTCCGATTCAAACATAAATTCTCTGAAACTGATATTATCAAGATGCTTAATTTTTTTGATTGACAACATTTTTGTTACGTTCGGAGGAAGTGTTGTTCAACAAAAAAATCGGCATTCCCATGGAAATCAACTGTGTTCCTCTTCTTGCCGACTTGTTTCTTTATTCATATAAGGCTGACTTCATACAGGAGCTCCTTAGGAAGAATGAAAAAAGCTAGCATTATCATTTAACTTCACTTTTCGGTATATAGATGATGTCCTCTAATGGTGACTATGTTGAACGCATCTATCCCATCGAACTAGAAATAAAGTATACAAGAGATACAGTTAAGTCTGCCTCATATCTTGACACACATCTAGAAAATGACAATTGGTGTCGCTTAAGATCAAAACTTGACGATAAAAGATGTGATTTCTGCTTCCTAATTATGAACTTTCCATTTCTATGTAGCAATTTTCCAGGAGCGCTTACATATGGAGTATATATCTCCCAGTTGATACGATATACCGGGGCTTGTATTTCCTATCATCATTTCCTTGGTAGAAGGTTGCTGCTCACAAGGAAGCTATTAAACTATTGAGTTCCAAGTAGTATTGTTGAAATCATCCCTTCGAAAATTTAATGGACGCCATTACGAGTTGGTTGACCGTTTCACAGATGACGACGGATATGTTCAAATTGTCGTTAGCACAATCCCGTCCTCTTTGCCCGGAATGTCACCCACCGAATAAGACTTATCAACGGGTTTTGAACTTGCATGAGCAAATCGACGGGTGCCAAATGTGGAGCAGGATCTTCTTACCCGTCCGGAGCACCTGAGATCACCCCCGGTTTTTGGTGGGATTCGTGTTGCTCAGTTTTTAGTTTTCTATGTTGTGTTTTGTATCTTTGGTATCTTTCGCCTCTCTTTTACAAATCTGGTAACGGATTATCATTCCAAGATCACGGATTGGAAACCGAGATTACGGATTATTTATCAGACACAAATCGACGGGTGCCAAATGTGGAGCAGGTTATTTTTACCCGTCCGGAGCACCTGAGATCACCCCCGGTTTTTAGTGGTGTTCGTGTTGCTCAGTCTTTAGTTTTCTATGTTGTGTTTTGTATACTAGTACTGTTGTTGGTCTTTTTCGTTTTTTGCCATGGCATTGTCAGTGGAGCAGGATCCTCTTACCTGTACGGAGCACCTGAGATCACCACCCCCCCCCCTTGTTGCCTCTCTTACAAATCTTCTATGTTAATGAAAGTATATAAGTCTTACAATTTGGATGCTAAATAAGCCATCAAAATATTATATGGTATAAAACGAATATTACCACAAATGAAAATATAAACAATTTAAAATGTTTTGACATTCATATTTTAATTACAATGTACACTGTGTTTTGGAAATAAATAGTCCGTATTAGACGAATGATGTTCTGTGTAATGTTAGAAACATAAAATATTCAACAAAATGGAGTACATACACTATTATATCGAATGAGCAATAGTAAATCTTCTAAAACTAAAGCTCAGTGTGTATTTACAGCATAAAACATTCATATTGGTATGTCAAGTTAATGAACACCCGGAAACCTAAAAATATCAGTTTTTTCGAATAAATAATAAAGCGTCATTAATTCTAAACAGTAAATGGCAAGTCCACAAGAGCTGAATGAGATGATAACCTTATCATTTATGGCAAATGACATTGTGTAAAGGGTCTTGGATACATGATTTTTAATTAGTTGTAATTGGCTTTGAACTAGCTTTCAGTAACAGCAATTATTCTCAGCTTTTAGTGCTCTTGTTAGTTGTGATTTTTTATCGATCAGATGAGTTAAGCCCTTATCAACTGATTTTATAGTTTGTTCTTATCTTGTGTTGTTACACCACTCTCCCAGGTTAGAGAAGGGCTGGGTGTCCGCAAATATGTTCAACACCGCCACATTCTATATGAGCCTGTCCCGAGTCAAGAGCCTGTAATTCAGTGTTGTCTTTTGTTTCTGTATATCATATTTGCTTTTCGTTTGTTGTTTTGTACATAAATCAGGCCGTTGGTTTTCACGGATGAATTGTTTAACATTTGGTCATGGTGGGGTCTTTTATAGCTTTTGCGGTATGGGTTTTGCTTTGCTCATTGTTAAAGACCTTAAGTTGAGTTGCTAGCATCTATGTCATTTGATCTTTAGTGAATCGTTGTCTCATTGGTTTCCCTATTTTATACCAACGTAGATAGTCAATAGTTTCTATTATTTTCAAACGAAAACATAAGAAAAAAAATGTTCATACAATAAAGAACACAAAGGGAAGATGGGTATAGAAATATGGTCACTTCAACTCCTTTCATCCGACAGTAAGACCTATATAGGCGTCCCTTTGGCTGTACAAATAAGTAGCCATGTCAGGTCGAATTGCGGACATACAATCCGATGATTTTTGTTGGGAGAGTGTCACGCTGCTCTTTGTCGCAATCCCGTCTTTCTTTCCTTGTTTGCAACCATCATTATATGAGACCCATCATTTGATTTGTACTTGTCATGAGACATACGACAGTTGTCACTAATGGAGTAGATACTGCTACCAAAAACGAGATAATCTCAGGGGCTCCGGAAGGGTAAGCAGGCCCTTCTTCACGTGTGGCAGCAATCGTATTGTTCATGGCAAGTACAAATTCGGTGTTAAGGTCTCATTCGGGATGTCACAATCAAGGAAAATAGGACGGGAATGTGGTGACGACAATTGGAAAAGGTTGAAATAAAATATAACAAGTAACCAATTAGGTAGGTACTGTAAAGTATAGATAGATCGAGATTAAGAGCGGAGAATGTGTACCGTCACAGGAAAAAGAGGTCGCTATATAGAGGCAGAAGTTTTACCTTGCAATAGGTAACCGACTTCTGAGTTTTGAATGTCCCTTTTCTACAGACCCGTAAACAAAGTATTGCTTGTTTACGTGAAAAAAGGTAAGAATATTCCAAGGGTCAATCGTAAGTCAAAAAAGGACAGGTAAACCAATGACCAACACGGGAAACAATCAACTGTTCAAAACACCACAAAAAAGAAAGAATGCCCCATTTGAATCTCACTAAAAAGCAATATTGAATTCGGTTGCTCCGAAATGGTATGCAGTCTATTTATTTTTATTTTTTTTTGGGGGGGGGGGGTTGAAGATTTAGTTTGTCTTTACGTCATTTTTGGTTTTTTGCCATGATTGTGTAGGTTTCTCTTTGACTTAGGAGTTTTGATTCTTCTTTTTGGTATGATCTGCCTATTTATTACAGTTAGCAAAAAACTCATTTAAAATAAAAATTGGAAAAGAGTGACTGGTTGGGCTGTTGAATAAGCAGAACTGCAGTATCTCTAGAGCAGTCTACTATTTATTTTGATGACGAAAGTAAAAGATTGACTGCGCTTTAATGTCCCAATAAAAATAATAAAAGGTGCCAATAGTTGAGTTCTGTGAAATATTCAAATTCCACTACTGTCATTCGGTATATCGAGAAAAAATAGGTTGAAAGAAAAAGTAGCGGTGGTACAGTAATACAATAAGATCATGTGAGATCTAGTATCGGACCGTTAATGTAATCTTATCGAGAAGACACATGCAAGGTCAGTGTATAATCTAATTCATTCATTTATAAGGACACATATCTGAAAAAATAAGACTGTATGTCAAAATGGTTTACAATATGATCAATATCGAAAAATCATAGTTTAAAAGTTTACCGTTTTTAATAAAACTATATAAAAGGCTGATTGTTCATCAACATTTCAATTGATAATAAAAATGTAAAACAAAATACAGCGTTGTTTCATAGTTTGAAGGACTTAATAACTATTATCTGAACATTTTCGTTCTATATAATTATTACAGTTTCAAATGCTGACTAATAGAATTATATTGTAGTAGCTAAATAACAAAATTTGCAAAAATTGGAATATTTATATAAAATAGATATTTCTGGTGGTGAAAGATCGGGTACCGCTTGTTGATGATTGTGAAAAGGATTGTGATCTGGGATGCGGCTTTTTTGTTTTTTTCACATATTTTTAAATTGAATTGGATTTAATTGGATTTTCAAACCGATACCAGATCTTTCACGGTCGGATCGCAATACTTGGCCACCGTTACTAATTCTTTCACGATCATGTTTTTGTTAATCGGATGAAAGCCCTGGAGTTCGGCCGGGGACACAATTCGTGTGAAATATCATAACAACGATAATATAAAGAAGCACACTAACTTTAAACTGTTTTTATACTATAGATAAATAAACCGTTCCAGTCACCTGTTAAATTATACCATTCCATATTTTTAAATAGGTCTTCCTAATTATACATGTTATATTTGCCACTTAAAGAATTAATCGATTTTCTAAAATAGCCATGTGAAATTAAACCTTTGTTGATCCAATGACGTATAAATAAATAAGGTTGACGAACTAGGTTAAAAAAATATACCTGTATAATACATGTAATTCAGGTAGTAAAATCAATATAAAGTAATACAATTGGGAAATACTTGTGACCACAGATATAGCCGCCATTCATAGATAAAAGTCTTTTTTCGAAAAGGAAAATGTCTACAGGACCACCACCAACATATACCGAGAAAGGAAGCGGACCATTACCAGTATTTCCAGCACCACCAGGACCAAATGAAGCCCCACCAGGTCTGTTTATTCTGAATATCTTTATAGCTATTGAAATCCAAAAGTTTATCGATGAAATTTTTATTTGAACCCCTATTTAAATATGAGATATTTTTCAAAATAAGCGTAAGAATCAAATTCTTCCTTTTGAAGACATTTTTATTTCGAAGAACTGAACCGTTAATTCCAAGTAAATGTGAGATAAGCTTCCTGTATGTTATCTATACATATATTTTATATCGGTTCGGATTTTTTATCAGGGGTTTAATATTGGTTTCTTTTTTGTGTATTTAATTTCTGTTTATTCATTTTTTGTTTCATTACATCCATCATTTATAAGCAAATTCATTACTCTTTGAAAGCTTTCTAACTCTAAATCTGCCAGAATTATCGGAATACATTGACTTTTGTGAAGTTACTATCTGATTTTATAATAATGATAGATGTCATACATGCATATATGGGAACATAAGTAATAAAAATATAAGGGAGACGAAGAATGAACATTCTATTGATTTTAAGTCGCTTTTTGTATATTTTAGGATATTCACAAACTTCACATTACTCACAAAACTTTGTGGTGGTCAATCAGCCTGGTATGATGAAATGCCAAACATTCCTTGAAACACCTGTTCGGACAACATGTCCATCGTGTCGAGCTGAGATTCTTACATCTACACATTATGAAACTGGTACTTTTACATGGGTTGCATGTTTAGTTATTGCATTTGTTGGGTACGTTTAAATGTATTTATACAGTCTCATAAAAATTATCACCTATGCTATTTTCTCATTAAATTAGTTCTTTTATTTGTTAGGTATGATGAGTTATACAAATGAAATAATTTTATTACAATTAAATAAATACATAAATTGAGGGAAGATATTTCCGTTGTCCAATGGTTTAATAAAAAGACCAATACCAAGAGTTTGAACAAGTAGCAACTACCTACTTTGCAGAACCTATATAACCTATTGTATTAATTGTAAATTTGTTTTCGTCCTGAATATGCATGAAATATTTGTCAATGGACGTAAAATAAGCAATAACCAATCAATCTAATAAACGTTTCACATATTACACATTTCATAAAAAATCATCAAAGATAGCAGGCTTATAATTTTGTACGCCAAACGCGAGTTTCGTCAACAAAAGACTTATCAGTGATAATAGAATAAAAAGTTAAAAGGCCGGATAAAATTACAAAGTTGAAAAGCATTGAGGACCCAAAATTCTGAAAGGTTTTGCCAAATACAACTAAGGTAATAATTCCCCAGATAGAACATCCCTACATTACTTCCTTTGTATCAATTATCCTACATATGGAAGTTGCTAAAATTATCAAAAGCACTTGAAATCATCATCATTTTGAAATGGTAGATCCATTAGCAATTCACATTTCTGTCAAAATTTTGAAGAAATGAAGTTAGAAGACGAAACCATTAGGATTTGCTGGTCTACACACTTCCAACGTTTACATATACTTTCTATGAATATTTCAGGGTTAACAGAAAACTTTGAGGCAAATCTAACTATGTGACAACAAACATATTAGATAAGCCAAACAATTTGCTTATAAACATTCAATTCAATGAAAAATCTAAATCTAAATCTATGAAATTCTAACGTGACAATATAGAATAAGAAGGTGTCAAGGTATGATTGCCAATGAGACAACTAGCCACCTTAGACTTAAGCAACTATAGATCATCATACGTCTTTCAATAATGAGAAAAACGCATACCGTACAGAAGGCCATGAATTGACAAAATGCAAAACAATTATAACGAGTAAACCAACTATTATGAAATCTGAATGACAAAATTCTTCCATAAACACTTCAGGTACATGTGAGTTAACAGTACTAAAAACTTCCATGGTGATACTTTAAATAAAATAAAATTATGGTGTTACTTTACAGGCCGATAAAATTTAAGCATCGCCAATAGATTGTTTCTTTAACGCACAGTAGCAAATATTTCATACATATTCCAGCGAAAACAAATTAACAAAAAATCCAACAGGTAGATTTGGCAAAGAAGGTGGACCAGAATGAAAGGCGGGAAATTTTGATTGCAAAAACAAAAGGAGAGCAAGTTGGAAAAGGGGCAAGAATTTTGCAATGCAACAGGTTACTTATGACCGCTTAAAGAGTTATTTATAGTTTTCTTTAATGTGCAGAGAGTATATAACTCTCCCTACGACAGGAATCTTATTTCCTTCCCTTCGAATCATCATAAGTTTTGAATGTCCACTTGGCATTTTCGGCCTCTTTTTTTATTAAACGCTTTCCTTCCGATCGAACGTGGCTGTGTATTAATTCATCCCACACAGGCAAACGTACACTACTCTAAACGATAGGCCTCACTGGAAGAGAGTTTACCATATTTCTTGATCCAAGTCAACCCTTGGGGGTAATGTATGAAGTAAGAACTGTTGTCTTTACAGATATGTAATTTAACTTATCAAAGAAGACCACCTCCCTGAATGCTTGCTCAACGCATTTTGCAACATAACAGAACTTTTTATTTTATTAATTTACCAAAGTGTATCTGCTCTGACGTATACATTGAACAAAAGGATATTTATTCCAATTTATCAATTGTAGATTATGGTTATTTTGCTGTTTGATACCGTTTTGTATGAATGCATGCAAGGATGTAGTACATACTTGTCCTAGTTGTAGACACACAGTTGGACGGTTCAGCAGAGCTTGATTTACAAGAAAGCTTAGTCTGCAGATAGTCACAATAATAATTCTTTGAAGAAGAATGGCATAATAAATGCAGTTCCGAGAGGATTTGCGTTTTTAATTATATTTTACTGTTTCTGTGACATTTAATTTATTTTACTTGCATATATTTTACTTTTATTTTGTTTTCTTATCAATCGAGATTGCTAAACAGAGTGTCTTGCTTAACTAATATCCCCAAGAAATATTTTGTAGTATGTCTCATAATAATATTAATTCTAATTGGTTCTAATATACAAGTCAATCAAAGCATTGTATAATACGCATGTTTTAAATTAATTGAAGAAGAACCTGGAGGGTCACTATAAGCATTTAACCCTCCAAACAAAAGTATTTGTACAAAAATCAACTGTAAAGCTGTTTAGTAATTTTACCACCAAAATTATTGTCATGCTTATAGATAATTTAAAAATTTGCGCTAGAAGGTTAAGGAGTTTACTGATTTTGCCAAAATATGTCTATTGTCCCTAAACTTGGACCTTTTGACAATAAATATCAGGTGTGAAGAAAATTTAACCACCATTGTAGTTCTTATCATAATCATAACCACTGCACCAAATGGTGGTTAATATTCGTCACAATTTAGGGACCATAATTATTCATATTCTTCTTAGTGTTTTATTGTTCAAATTGTAATAAAATGTTGTTAATGAAGTTTCAATAAAAAAATATGCATCATTGCTACTTTGTTGTTTATAGGTAAGATATTTTATGATTAAGAATCCAGAAAGGGCATTCGAGATCACAAATGTCAAGTGATTATCAACGTTTAATTCTTAGTATCAATCATAGTTTTTTATACATTTTTGCTAATGCTCTGATTTAGAAGCCCTGAACTTGTCACAATTAGATAAAAAAAAAACATTAAGCCTAGACACAGTGACATCACACTAAATATAATTATGAAATCATACAAAGAAATCTTTTAAAACAGTTGAAAGACATAAGGAAGGCAATCAAAAACGTAAGTCGAAGACGGATGGATGCCAAAAGAAAACGTTACAAAGTCAAAAGCAGTCTACAACACACTACACAGAAAAATAAAGAGTGATCAACACGAACCTCACCAAGAAAACGTTCGTCAACTGGTATGAACCAGATGAATAATGAGTTTCTGTCCTACTTATGAAACCTGTCGTATCCGGTGAAAGGTCATATTCGATGATTGTGTCATAAACGAAGAATGGACGATAGTGTTATTTGGACAAATGAACATATCCGTGGGCTTTTAAGACAGACATCATGAAAACGAGGTTTGGAAAAAAGACGGACGCATAGAAGAGCTCCTGATATATAATAATCAAGTCTAAAAGGGTACGTCATCACCAAAAAATAGTAAAATCTTTGGCTACTAATATCACAGTCTGGGAACAAACAACTTCGACCATCTCTTCGTTGTGTGTATGTACCTCTTTGTTTGTCGGAAATATGTGTAAGGCTTTCATCGATGCTTTTAGAACTTCAGAAACTTATACAGATGACAAAATGGATAAATCTTCCTTAAGAAAAGGCTGTCTTTACAGATGTGTTCTCATTCTGTTGAGCAATACTGCAAAGTCCTGATCATTCTTTTGACGCATGATTTCTGTTGGTATTGCAGTTTTGAAGACAGCTAGGATTCCAGAGGTCAAGAAAAAGAGTGTTAATATCTATATAAAGTGGCGATGCTCGGACAGGAGAAAGCTGGCAGATGCCATCGACTGCAAGAGCAGCTATACCTCTTTGTTTGTTTTATTTGGGATAATCTGCCACTAATATAATTATGTTAGTTGCTTATGGTCAACCATAGATTTTTATCTATCACCAGAATGCACACAAGGACTCATATTTTGAGCGAAGGATATTTAGTAGATTCTCTCCTAAAGGTTTTTATGGCAACTTGATATCTTTGTTGATAACAAAAGCTGAGTGGATTGTGGTTCCTTCAATCTGTAATACCGCTGTTCCAGTGAGCGCTGAAGAAAGACAGACATTGCATCTGGAGTATGTGCTCAAGCATCCTGCTGAATATTACCCTCATGCAGGTCTTCCAAAGCACTTTCTAATTCATCAGGGTCATGCTCATACTTTTTCCTAATTGCAGAGATAATATCTACATCCATTGAACCATCAAAATCTTCATGTTTCAGTGTGGCAAGTACAACTGAAGTAAAGACCATTAAAACTCTTCCTTTGCTTTTTCATATTGAACCTTAAATACCTGTTGACATTTTCATTTCCTTTACTTTTTTGTTTCACATATCCTTGGTGATTTTGTAGTTTAAAGACTGTTGATTTTTCTGTAGATTTTTTGTTAAATGGGATGAATGTTTTGTAAAGAAAAGAAATCAGCCGAACACATATCATTGAAGTCTTCATCATTTGGAAAATCAAAATACTTTTTGAAAATTGTAGTCATCCAAATATTCTCATCGTCGTCACGCCTAGATCTGATTACGTTGATAGGCAATGTCATTTTCATGGGTTTACTACCTGTGGGTATGAATACAATATTCCGAGAGCAGTTCTTCAACTTAAAGTGCAAACTCTGTACACTACTTCCTGAGCAGAAATCTTTTTGATGTTCATATACACCTGGCCTATTTTGTTCATTGTTCCTGAAGCATCTTTGTTGCCTTCTATTGCTTCTTTCTAAGCTCTTTGTGGCAGTTCACTTATTTCACCTTCAGTCTTGTTGATATACGATAAAATATACACAACACACACAGGAGTAAACATCTGTCACATATTGTATATCAATGTTGGCATTCCAAGCACATATTAAAATACTGTTGAAATTGTTGACCCATAGATTTGAAAGATTTCTCTTGTGGTGTATAACATTCTTGGTTGTGACACTTTTCAAACATTGTTTATAGTCTGGATATGTTGTGTTTGCCAGTTTAAGTATGCTATCCAATGTCAAATATGGTAAGGAATCATAAACTGTGATGATTGTCTAAATGTCCTTAGAACATGTTTAGCTTATCTTATACGTATAGTCTTACAGGGTTTTTCTATTTCTTCAAATGATGAAGGTGCCTTCCCCTTGGAAGTGTGATCTTTCTGGGCATCAAGTCTTGCAATGAAAGTTTTTCGTATTGGAGGATTGGAAAAAATAAACCTACAGGATGTTAAATGCTTTTTACAGGATTTTGAATGATTTCGGCTGTATGTCTGTACTGATGTAACTATTTCATATAGTTCAGTGTTGGCTTCTTTGTTTGATAACTCAGTAGTGATATGTTGATCTACAAATCTGCAAATGTCATCATCACTGTCCTTATCTAGTCGTGGAACACCTACAATCCGGAAGGGTAAACAGATCTTGCTCTACATGTGGCACCTGTCGTGTTGCTCATGCTAGTGCAAACCCGGTAATAAGTCTTATTCGGTAGGTCACATTCGGGGGGGAAAGGGGGGGACTGGATTGTAGTTACGACAATTGGAACATACCGGGTATCCGCTATCATCTGTAAAACGGATATTCCATTACGGTCAACCAACTCGTGATTGCGTCCGTAGAATTTACGAAGGGATGATTTCAATTTCACCACTTGGAACTCTTGGTTTAATAGCTTCCTTGTGAGCGGCAACCCTCTATCAAAGAAATCATGGGTTTACTACCTGTGAGTATGAATACAATATTTCGAGAGCAGTTCTTCAACTTAAAGTGCCAACTCTGTACACTTCTTCCTTAGCAGATAACTTTTTGATGTTCATATACACCTGGCCTATTTTTTACATTGTTCCTGAAGCATCTTTGTTGCCTTCTATTGCTTCTTTCTAAGCTCTTTGTGGCAGTTCACTTATTTCACCTTCAGTCTTGTTGATATACGATAAAATATACACAACACACACAGGATTAAACATCTGTCATATATTGTATATCAATGTTGGCATTCCAAGCACATAATAAAATACTGTTGAAATTGTTGACCCATAGATTTGAAAGATTTCTCTTGTGGTGTATAACATTCTTGGTTGTGACACTTTTCAAACATTGTTTATAGTCTGGATATGTCGTGTTTGCCAGTTTAAGTATGCTAACCAATGTCAAATATGGTAAGGAATCATAAATTGCGATGATTGTCTAAATGTCCTTAGAACATGTTTAGCTTATCTTATACGTATAGTCTTACAGGGTTTTTCTATTTCTTCAAATGATGAAGGTGCCTTCCCCTTGGAAGTGTGATCTTTCTGGGCATCAAGTCTTGCAATGAAAGTTTTTCGTATTGGAGGATTGGAAAAGTTAAACCTACAGGATGTTGAGTGCTTTTTACAGAATTTGAATGATTTCGGCTGTATGTCTGTACAAATGTAACTATTTCATATAGTTCAGTGTTGTCTTCTTTGTTTGACAACTCAGTAGTGATATGTTGATCTACAAATCTGCAAATGTCATCATCACTGTCCTTATCTAGTCGTGGAACACCTTCAATCTGGAAGGGTAAACAGATCCTACTCTACATGTGGCACCCGTCGTGTTGCTCAAGCTATTACAAACCCGGTAATAAGTATTATTCGGTAGGTCACATTCGGGGGGAAAGGGGGACTGGATTGTAGTTACGACAATTGGAACATACCGGGTATCCGCTTTCATCTGTGAAACGGATATTCCATTACGGTCAACCAGCTCGTGATTGCGTCCGTAGAATTTACGAAGGGATGATTTCAACTTCACCACTTGGAACTCTTGGTTTAATATCTTCCTTGTGAGCAGCAACCCCCTATCAAAGAAATCATGATAGGAAATACAAGCCCTGGAATATCGTATCAACTGGCAGATATATACTCCGTATGCAGGCGCTGCTGGAATGTTGCTGCATAGAAATAGAAAGTTCACAAGTCTTTCATTGTCAGTTCCCATTATGGAGGAGTCCCACGGAATGGTTAAAGGAAAAGATCACATTTTAATATCTGCTTCAAGCAGTCCAAATTTGATAACTTGGAGCGATTCCGGCTTTTCCCATCTGCAGTTGTTTGTTATAGCCCTTGTATAAGGCAATGGACATATTAGGTGTTACTGTTGTTATCTCAGTGACATATTGAGCAAAAATATATTGGCTATCTGCAGCAAATCTTGGATCGGCAGACAAGAGTCTGGCATTAAAGTATTTTGTTGGAGTAAGTTTCAGTTGACGATCCATTGAAAATCCAAATTGTCTACTAAGATGTAAATGTGGGAATTCTATTGCATTACCTTTTTCTTTGAATACACTTTTCTGAGTCTAATTTTCACCAGAAGCCAAGCAAAATATTTTCCTGTTTGTATCAAGAACCTTCTGACCAAGGTCGATTGTTGCAAACAAGTATCGGGGCCTTTTATAGCTGACTGTGCGGTATGGGCTTTGCTCATTGTTGAAGAACGTACGGTGACCTATATTTGTTAATTTCTGTGTCATTTTGATCTCTTGTCGAGAGTTGTCTCATTGGCAATCATACCACATCTTCTTTGAATATATTATATCATTATTTTTCTTGATCTTCTTTCGTGTTCATTGACTGATGTTCATTGTCAGTATTGTAAAAAGTAAAATAACAAAAATACCGAACTCCAAGGAAAATTCTAAAGAGAAAGTGTCTTATCAAATGGCAAAATCAAAAGCTCAAACACATCAAACGAATGGAAAACAACTGTCATATTCCTGACTTGGTACAGGCATTTCCTTATGTAGAAAATGGTGGATTAAACCTGGTT